TACTTAGATGTTTGTAAAAATGATTCATTGTCAAAATCTAGGGAAACGGCTAAAACATAAACAAGGATTATTCAATGTGTTTTAGCCATCTTTGCTAAGCAAGAGTTTCTGATACTCCATACTTTCTGATATTTTAGTCTAAATAGAATAATAAATATCTTATATAAGGAAACAGAAGAAATGTGTGCTTGCATTAAACTAATTTTAATCTTTGACTTTATAGTAACCTAAAATATAATGTATCCTATTCTACCATCTAGCTTCTGTACCCATGTACAGATGAATTCAGTGAATTAAAATTTTATCCATTGCATTAGAGTTCTTGTCACAAATTAAGGACTTATGCAACATTTAACAAAAAGATTCAAATTTGAAAATATTTCTTCTTTGTTGCAAATAATGCTTAAATGCATGCCAAATTTCATGTTCTGTAAAATATTAAGAAATTGAACTTTCTATGCATGATGATCAGAATTCTTCAGCCATCAATTTTTTCAACCAATCAATGCATTCTTTCACTTTAGAGGACATTAATATTGAGAAACTATGACTGAAAAATAAAATTTTACAAGGCTAAACAGGTTCATGTTACTTATAATATATCTAAAATAACTGAGTTGATATCTTAATTGATTTTTGGGGTGAAAAAAAACCCTAAGCATCTGACTTTATTTATATAATAGTGTTGCATTATGCATGTACTATGCCTAAATAGTAGGCAGGGTTTGACACATGGTGCACGAGCCGGAGGCGAGTGCACTATGTGTCAAACCCTGCCTACTATTTAGGCATAGTACATGCATAATGCAACACTATTGTTATTATTATGCTGACTGTTAATTATTTATGCGGCAATCTATTTGACTTTTTCCTGAAAATATCGGTACTTAAACAGCGCACCTGCGAGAACTAATTCAAAATATTCATGCTAAAATTGTTTGCATGCTTAGTTATTTTGGTTACTAGTATTTTCTCTAATAAGTTTTTCTTTCTTTATTTTCTGTTTTGTTCGTAAGCCTTATTTGTTTGCAAATTCTCATTGATAATTTTCTTTTACATCCTTCAATCAAGCGTCATATAAAAAAGCGTTTTAATGACCCTATAAAATCAGTTCATCTAACGATCTGTATGTAATTAGTTTGAAAGTTTGTTGTACACATTAATCTAAAGTTCCTTTGAATAATATAACTGTTTTCAAATAATATTTGTCTATTTTCTCCTTCTTGTGTCAATTGTATAAACTAAGTTTATATATTTCATAAAATTATTCCAATCAGTGATTCTTTGGCGTAATCGATAAGGCATCGGACTGACAATCTCATGGTCATCAGTTCGATCCCCGGCATGTGCATGGAAGAATTTTATTCAGTAAATAAAGCCGTGCACTATTTCGGCATAGTATGCTTACGCTATATAAATCCTTAGACCACTATGCGAGAATAGTAGGGTATGGGTTATATAGAGACAAACTGACAGGAAGCATAATAATTCAGTATAGTCGCTTAACACTAAAATCATTCTTTAAAACTTAGCCAGAAAAACAAATAAATGTTTTCTTTGTATCAAATACACAATTGAGGCCTTTCTACCATTTTACTTACCCATAACTGTGGCATAAAATATTTTGTACTGTGTCCTTCATTTGCTTCTTTTGAGCACAAATAACTTCTGAAGGGTTTTCAACAAAGACTCTTTTTAAGTACACATGCACAATAGCTTCTGAACAAATTCATCAACAAACAGTTGTTCAGTATCAAAGGTATACACAGACACTTAATTGTTTTTCGCTAAGTGACAACTGGTATATTGTTATAGTAAGCTATATCAGGAGGACATTCAAAAGTAGATTCAAAGTGCACCCCACTGACTGACTGTATCAATGTATAGACCCATGTGCTACTTTGAATCATCCTAATAACTGTCTAATATGCCTTTATAAGTGCATTTTCTAATTACCTTTTCTTAAATGCAGGTGAATTTAACTTCCACCAACACCAGCATCTCATTTGTACCATTGGATATGTGGAAGCAAATAAGAAGTCCAAATTCCTCTTTATATATGTATATAACCTTAATTACCAGTAATATCTTGAATCCTTGGATGTCTGGGTCCATTTGGATCATTTAAATGATCAAGGTTTGACTGTATAACATAAGTATACTGAAAGATTATGAAGCTCACTTTGAAGAATGTCATATATTCTAAAACCCAGATATGGATTTAGAGTAATTTGGGCTTGTACCTATCAAGAAAATTACTTGTCAATCAAGGTTAAACCAAACAGCCAGAGCACCTGTGGTAGTGCTTTTCCTTCTAAATGTGGCAGTCAGTGGGGTTTGATCACTGGTGGCCAGATAGCTCAGTCGTTAGAGCATCTGACTGGGGGCCCAAGTTCAAATCCCGGTCTGGTCCGCTGCGATCATGCCCTGGAACTGACAGGTGAGAGGCCTGCCAGGGTTGAGCCTGGGTTGGGGTCTTTGAGGGACCAAAGACCGTTAAGGAGGGAGGAATGTGGCAGTCAGCCAGGTTCCATCTCCAGTGACCAAATAGCTCATAAAGCACCTGTTTGGAGATTCTGGCAGACTGGATTCAAATCCCTGTCTGGTCTCCTGCATTTTTCTCCTCTCCCGTTACATTTGCAAGTTTTGTGTAAAGAACACAGATATGTTTCAAAAATTGAAAATGGTCACCAATATGAATATGCAAGTCAGATCCAGCATCCATAGATGCACGTTTATCGTCCTTCTCGAGAATTTTTAACTCATATGGAGATGCCAACACTTGCCGGTGGAGAGCTGCAAATTTTGTCCTATACTCGGCACTCAGGGCCACTGAGCAGGGAAGGGATCTTTTTCGTGCCAGCATCCACTGCAGCAAAGGTCCTTCGTTTATACGGTCTCATCCAGAGGACCGGTCTCCACATCCCACATGGGATTAGAACGTGCAACATAAGGATCAACTCCTTACTTCCCGACCTTAGAGCAGATGTTCTAACCACTGCGCAACTTGGTCATCAGGAAATAGATCAGATCTAGCAACTGAAACTTGTCTAGTAATGCATCGATACATCTTCCAATCCATGCATGTTTTCAAAGTCATCACTTGAAAATTACCTCACACTGAGACAGTCTCCAAATATTGTAAGTTCATCCTGTTTTAGTGTTTATTTATCTAGAAATACAGGTCAGATCTATTCTCTTTAGAGAAGTGGACAGACTTTTGCTTACAATGCTACATCATGTACATTACAAAAACCTGTTCACTTCTCTAAAGAGAATAGGCTAAATCCAGCATGTATAGCAAGTCTGATAGACACATTCCTAGAAACATTATCTATTCGAGTTTGGTCAGATCCAGCAATACTGATACAGTACAGTAATACATGTACGGTACAGTAGCAGGTCCAGCACAATCGCTTGATTAAGCTATATAGCTTTAAAAAGCTATATAGCTTTATTAAGCTATTTAAAATAGCTTAATAAAGCTATAATTTATATGCAGTTGTTAACATAAACGTTTTTTAGTAAGAAATAAACAAAAAGTCGCAAGTATTTGACTATGCATATATGTACTTTTGGCTATCAAAAATACAACCTATATCATAGAAAGTTCTAACATTGCTGTTGTTGAATACTTTTAAGCAAAAGATGAATTTCCATTGTTTGAGTAACTGCATTATTATATTGAGTGCGGTGAGGCGTGGATAAGTATGATTGCTTCTCATTGTGTTGAACTGTTACCAATCAATTATCCTGTTGGCCATATTAACTGACCTCCTTTATAATTTCATTCGAGAAATAACTGTGTGGTCACTCATCAATAGCCCCCAAACTTTTAAAACTTTGAGTACAAAGTCTCTCAAGGAGACGCAATTTGGTGAGTGATTTTTACATGCATTGTATTCAGAAGAGTTCAAAGCTTAATATTCCCACTGCTGCAGTGACCAAGGTGCGACTTTTTGCGCGTGCTGAAAAAATAAAACATTTGAGAAAAAAGTGTGATAAAATAGCTTAATCAAGCTATTCCGAATAGCTTAATAAAGCTATATAGCTAAATCAAGCTATATGGCTTTAATGAAGACATTGTGCCGGACCTGAGTAGGTTTACCAGCTCTCCTAAAACATCAACCGTTTCAAGAACTGTAACCTGTCCAAAATCTTTTTAAATTGGTCCCTCTTTTTGAATACCTTTGCTGAAAATGCAACATTTAATTCTATTTTGAACCCAATGACATAGCCTATAAAGGATGTCACCTGTTTTTAGAGGAAATTCGAAATACATTATAAGCAGCTGATTCTGTCATTCTCACGCAGTCGAATTGATTTAAACAAACTTATTGCATTATGAATGGAATTTTTCAATGCTTTTGTAATATGAGATCAAACCTACCTGCATAATATCTTAAATATCGGTTATATATGTTTTCAACATCCTATTTTCGTTTCATAATCTGGTTGGTTCAACTTTTATGACAAGGAACAGCTAAATACCGGAAGGAAATCGGAGGTCCGAAAAGACCCGGATTAACATCAATATATTGAGCTGGGTGAAATGAATCTTTAAAATATGAACAATTATAAGTCATAAGATTGAATTGAAAATTATATTTATTATCAAAATCACAGATTTCTTTCATTTTACTGCTATTTCACCATAAACAGTAACACATAGTTATACCGGTGACTTAAATTACAGAAATTCACCAGACTGACTATGTACAGATATAAATTTATTTTCTCTGATAAAGTGATATATATCGGTAGTCTATCTATACAGAAATATGCATACTGATCATAACACTACATATTCACTGGATTTAAGTACATTTATTTCAACAAGAGACCAAATTAAGGAAAAAATTTCATTCAAATAGAAGTATACGTCATTGAGACATTTTTATCTTTTTCTGTGCATTAATTTTTTTATGCTTTAATTTTCAGAGATCAATTATTGAATATTTATCAAAAAGAAATAATTTCCCATGATAATCAGATTGAGATAAAGGAGAGTAATGTACTATCATTAAATTATTTGATTCATTTAGGAAAGCAACAAATATCTAAGTTATTGATTATGAATGTCTGAATACTGAAAATATGATGTACAAATTTCACATGCCGATATTCTGGATCTTTTTCATGCGTGAATGCCTCGTTGATCATTATTTACATATTTGCTTTAAACTGAACATTTGCAAAATTTATCATTCATAATAGCCAAAATACAACATACATGAAAAATTCGGCCAGAAATTGAGGTAAAAAGTTATAACTTAGCACTGCTCTGTCTTTGATGAACCACCTCAGAATCAATAAAGTTCTGGATTGTGTTCCCTGAAAAACCAATTTCCTTCAGAATTTCTACAGTATGCTGTCCTAGGTAAGGGGCTGGTAACACTTTATCAACACCAGGTGTACGAGACAGCTTAGGTGCTGGACCGGATTCATATTTCCCATCAGTGTTTTGTAAAAACGATTTATTTTCCACATTATGAGGATGAATTGGTGCTTCATTTGGCTCTAGTACTGGGGTGCAGCATGCATCTGTCTCTTTGAAAATCTCTGTCCATTCATCACGAGTTTTAGTTGCAAACAATTGAGTTAGTTTGTCTTTCAGTTTATCTGACTTTGACAAACTCTGAGGATAATCATCCAAACTAAGACCCAGTCCTGAAAGAATATGAAGAAGTCAGACTGGACTTGTTAAACTATTAAAATGTAATAATTAGGTTTTATTGATGTTCAGCATACCTTGTAAAAGTTTGACATAAAACTGAGGTTCTAAAGCACCAACAGCCATGTACTTTTTATCAGCTGTTTCGTATGTATCATAAAAGGGGGCACCACCATCTAAAAGGTTCTCACCAGGGGGTCTCCCCCAAATAGGAAGGTCACTGGATCTCCACAACCAATTTGCTGAATTGAAAATAAGCAGTTGTGTTCAAAAGGATTTAAGATGCATTCAAAACATATTATTATGAACTTTTTGCAATACATGTACATGTATATTAAATAAATTCATCATATCCTTGAGTACTCACAATATACTTGAACAAGTCAGTACTCAGACATACATGTACTAGTATAAGATTTAAATACCGGTATACATATAAGACATGAATTATTGTTTGTTTTTTTTTCTATTTTAACATCAAGTACAAAATCATGATGTAACGATAGAGGAATTAATTAAAGCTCTCTCAAGGTACCAGTATTTTATTAGAAAATGAACTGCTTTCAATACTTTAGAGAACATTTTGGGAAATGTAAAATGCTAGAAAACTCAAAGACTATCCATATTTGGTATACAACCATTAAATTAATGAACTTGTTAATGAGAACAGATAGACAGACACACATTATTGGACATACCTATATAAGCCGATCCTTCCACCATGCTAGCATCAATGACTTGACCTTGACCTGACTGTGTTCTTTCATACAAGGCCAACATTATCCCTAAAGCACAGGTCATTCCTCCTCCAGCAAAGTCTGCCAACAAGTTCACTGGAGCATGTGGCTTTTTTCCTTTCCTCCTAAGGTATGACAGAACACCTGCAAAGAAAAGAACAAAGCAGGTACTACTACCATACATTGTGACCATAAAACTGTTTTTTTAGGTTATCTATCATAATCATTTACAAATTGCTTCAACATTCCATCAATCAGTCTATCAATACTCTAACTGTCAGACAATAGTGTATATAAATATGTACCATATACATATATAAGATATAATTTCAAAACTGGGTACAATACTGAATTTTCAAATAGACGCCTTCCCATGATATCATGGCACTCCTGGGACCTTCACCTGAGGTAGCTATGTAATTGATATCATGGCCTGTCTGGGAACCTTACCTGAGGTAGCTATGTATTTGATATCATGGCCTGTCTGGGAATCTTACCTGCGGTAGCTATGTAATTGATATCATGGCCTGTCTGGGAATCTTACCTGAGGTACCTATGTAATTGATATCATGGCCTGTCTGGGAATCTTACCTGAGGTAGCTATATAATTGATATCATGCCTGTCTGGGACCCTTACCTGCGGTAGCTATGTAATTGATATCATGGCCTGTCTGGGAATCTTACCTGAGGTAGCTATATAATTGATATCATGCCTGTCTGGGACCCTTACCTGCGGTAGCTATGTAATTGATATCATGGCCTGTCTGGGAATCTTACCTGAGGTAGCTATGTAATTGATATCATGGCCTGATTGGAATCCTCACCTGAGGTAGCTATGTAATTGATATCATGGCCTGTCTGGGAACCTTACCTGAGGTAGCTATGTATTTGATATCATGGCCTGTCTGGGAATCTTACCTGAGGTACCTATGTAATTGATATCATGGCCTGTCTGGGACCCTCACCTGAGGTAGCTATATAATTGATATCATGGCCTGTCTGGGACCCTCACCTGAGGTAGCTATATAATTGATATCATGGCCTGTCTGGGACACTCACCTGAGGTAGCTATGTAATTGATATCATGACCTGTCTGAGAACCTTACCTGAGGTAGCTATGTAATTGATATCATGGCCTGTCTGGGACCCTCACCTGAGGTAGCCATGTAATTGATATCATGGCCTGATTGGAATCCTCACTTGAGGTTGCTATGTAATTGATATCATGGCCTGTCTGGGAATCTTACCTGCGGTAGCTATGTAATTGATATCATGACCTGTCTGGGAACCTTACCTGAGGTAGCTATGTAATTGATATCATGGCCTGTCTGGGACCCTCACCTGAGGTAGCTATGTAATTGATATCATGGCCTGTCTGGGACCCTCACCTGAGGTAGCTATGTAATTGATATCATGGCCTGTCTGGGACCCTCACCTGAGGTAGCCATGTAATTGATATCATGGCCTGATTGGAATCCTCACTTGAGGTTGCTATGTAATTGATATCATGGCCTGTCTGGGACCTTTACCTGAGGTAGCTATGTAAATTGATATCATGGCCTGTTTGGGACCCTCACCTGAGGTAGCTATGTAATTGATATCATGGCCTGTCTGGGAATCTTACCTGAGGTAGCTATGTAATTGATATCATTGCCTGTCTGGGACACTCACCTGAGGTAGCTATGTAACTGATATCATGGCCTGTCTGGGACCCTCACCTGAGGTAGCTATGTAATTGATATCATGGCCTGTCTGGGACCCTCACCTGAGGTAGCCATGTAATTGATATCATGGCCTGATTGGAATCCTCACTTGAGGTTGCTATGTAATTGATATCATGGCCTGTCTGGGAACCTTACCTGAGGTAGCTATGTATTTGATATCATGACCTGTCTGAGAACCTTACCTGAGGTACCTATGTAATCGATATCATGACCTGTCTAGGAATCTTACCTGAGGTAGCTATGTAATCGATATCATGGCCTGTCTGGGACCCTCACCTGAGGTTGCTATATAATTGATATCATGGCCTGCCCGAGTGGACATGACTCCTCTCTGACCATACCCTGTTAATCTGGCATACACTAACTTTGGATTCTCAGTCAGAAGAGATTTAGGTCCCAAACCTAACTTTTCCATTACACCTACAATATACAAACATTATATCAATATACACTGATCAAATAAACATTTTTTTAGAGCAAAGAATAAATAATGCAGGTACTCACGTCTTGGATACTAATCTAGGGTTATACAGAACACTCATCAACACAATAATGATTAATATCATTTTTTAACAAACATATTTTTTCATTAAGCATTTGACAAAATGATAACGTGAGAAATTCATACACTTAACTGTAAGTATGCAATTTGATAATTACAACTGTCAAATTCAGCAGAACAAGTAAAAGCTTATTCTCATCATATCATGCAGTATTTTTCTGTGCCATACCTTTCCAATAAATAAACACAATTTTTTGCAGATTAAATTTTTCCCATATATTGCTACACTTAATTTTTAGAGCTCCTATTCTAGTCTCATTGCTGACTCTGGAACTTGGAAACAAGATTTTACCTCCGATATCTAGTGCTCCCATCTAGCTTTCCAACATTTTTCAGTCCTATCCTTAAGAAGAGTACATTTAAGTAATTCTTTCTGATCTGTTATCATGTGTACCTTTGAACCTTGTGACTCCTAAATGTTCTTGTCAAGATATAATACATACCTGCCCTGAAGGGTTCAATAAGAACGTCAGCATCAGAACACAGCTTTTTGACAATGCCAATGCCGTCTTTCTTCTTCATATCAATGGCTATAGAGCGCTTCCCTCTGGCCAGCTTGTCCATGTCCACTGAGTGAGGCTGATAAAGAAGTATATGATTAAATATGTATAAGATAAGAAAAGATAAATATGGTATTTCAATTTAACATCCAAAAGAGTCAAAACACTATAGTCTATTTTTTACAATCAACCTTTGTAAAAAATAAAAATTATTATTAGATTTTATTAAAAAAACACACTAAAGGAACGACAGCTTTAATTTTTGCCTCTCTTTGACAGCAGAGGTCATCTTTGTAGATGACCAACTGGATATGAAAAAAAATTCATCAAATGAAGCATTCAAAGAATTTTTGGGCTGCAAAATCCCACCCTAAAGAAATACCTTATCAATTCTAATGACTTTGGCCCCAAAATCTGACAGAATCATGCCACAGAAAGGTCCTGGAGCTAGGCCAGCAAACTCTATCACTTTGACGCCTCGGAGAGCCATCTGGATGAAGAAAATAGAATTATATTTACGATAGGAATAACACTAGACTAGTTCTATGAGTCTTAAATATTTCTGATTGTTCTTGTACAGGTCACAAACAAATTATTTTCTATAATATCAGTACAAGTTGTAGAAGAGACACAGGGGGACTTAGGACACCCTTCTGTGATCAAACCTTTTTTTTTTTTTTTTTTGGATAATTTACACATAAATATGTATGAAAATGAATAAACCATTGTTATAACTCAAAAATCGAAGATTCCAAGGTACATTAATATATATTTTGCCCTTCCCATACGTCTGTCGAGTTGTCTTTTTGTCTGCAAAAACTTAAACACTGCCCATAACTTCTGATTGGTTGGAGCTATGGCTTTTATATTTCACAGGTGTATTCCTATGATTGGGTCTTTCTTTTGGATATGTACCAGTATACGAGGGTTGATCCAAAAGTTCGTGGAATTTCTTCATATTTTATTTATCTATAAGTGAAATTGATTGAAAATTACAAATGAGAATATTAGGGCTGTATCAATATATCGATATATCGATACGTATCGATATTCAAGAATAATATCGTATCGAAAAATAACTTCCAATACGTATCGGACAGACAGTTTTTTTTCCAATTCTGTTAAAAAGATGGGAATTTTAATCACCAAAGATTACAATTCACTTTTTTGAATTAAAACTGTTCAATAATTATATAATTTGAAAGGAAATAACACAGTTTTTATAATTATTACAAAGTACAAAGAGATTTTTATTTGAACATGTACTGTCATTAAACTTTTACTGTCATTAAAAGTTTCATTTTGAAGTGTTATTTGTAATGACAATGACATAAGAACTTTAAAATGGGTAATAAAACACTCAATTGTTATGAAATTCATGCATTAAAATGATTTAAAAGCCTTTTCTGATTGACTTGTTATAGAATCCAATATATCGCATATCGCTTTAAAAAATATTGTATCGTATCGTATCGAAATTTTTGGCCCAATACACAGCCCTAGAGAATATAGACACTTGTTGAATATTTAAAATATAAAAATATTTTAAATATTTCTGATAATTACTCTATGGCAGTTGCCATAGAAACGGATGTTTGGAAAGGCGGGGGAGACATCAACATGTTTATTATCAATTTAATTTTTAATTCTTGAAATGAGAATAAAACCGTCCTATGTGTTATAGAAAACGAAAAATATGTCATTATTACGATTGTTCTATCTTTTATAAACCTTTTTATGAGATTTTTACTGATTTTACTGGATATTTAGTTCATTAGTTGAAGATTTATTGTTCATCTTTAGGTTGTTAGCCAACGTCAAATTTTAATCAAGTCATAAGTTTTATGAAAATCTCGGGATCACTCTATCTTAAACGCGTATATTATTGACATAGGATTGGGAAAAATGCATTTAGCTACTGGGTTCCAGTGTCGTAAGAAATTTAAGAAAAATAGAACTTCCATGGACAATGATTAAAGGTGTGGCCGCCTTTTGGAGGCTCTGTTTTAAGTGTTTATTCCCTAGACAAATTAAAAGCGTTAATGGACGCTGTCGGCTGACGTACTGTTCTTGACATTGCTACTGAAATTGGAACATCATACGGTAAGATGGGGAGTATTTTGAAATATGAGTGAAAAATGAAGATAAGTTGGTACAAGAGGATACCCAGGCTTTTCTTGAGAAAAAAATGGACAAAAGGGCAGCATTTTGTTGAATTACGTATTCTAATTGGACAGTAGGGTGAGATGCTTCTAAAACGTGACGTAACATACCTAACTTGACGTTACGTCGAAGTCTCCCCCGGGTTTCACAACTATCCATTTTCAGAAAGCTCGTGTGACCTTATTGGTGATTGGAACGGGGTGAAATTTTCCAATATTGTTGCAGTATGACTCTGTATTATAAATATGCCTATTGTTTGTTTTCATCAAATCAGGATAAAATTTTAGAAAGAAATTCCACGAACTTTTGGATCAACCCCCGTATTTGACTTCTTGAGCTTGGAGATTGACCCAAAATTGTAAGAATTTACAAACTTAAACCTTTTTCAAGGCTTTTGAACTTATGGTGCTAGGGCTAGCACATTTCAAAAGTGTTTTCAACTTAACATGGCCTTTTTCATTGGATATAATATTTTTTCACCTTTTGACCTTGACCTTTGACACTGACTCATTTTAAAAAAAAACTTTAACTTTGGACATAGTTGCAGATCTGTAGTTCGCTGGTCTGAACAAGATCATCTGTAACAGTGTTTGTGAAACACTGATGCCCCCGAATGGCAACATAGCAAAGATTAAACTTTCCTTAAATGCAAATTTGATAATTCTGTTGGTACCAAAAGTAAGGTCTTCTCTCAAGTAATACAATTGTGAAATACGATAGGCCAAGCACCACCTGTTCAAAAGTTATAGTCAAGGTAAAAGTTTTTAAAAAGTGGGTCAAACTCCAAGATCAAAGGGTCAAAGTTGTTGATATCCAGTGAAAGGTCTTGTCACAAGGATTAAATATGTGAAGTATGAAAGCCCTTGCCCTAACCCTTCAAAAGTTATGTCAATGTTTGTTTTTATAAAGTAGGTCAAACTGCAAGGTAAAAAGGTCAAAGTTGTTGGTATCCAATTACAAGAGGCCCATGGGCCACATCCCTCACCTGAGAAGCTTTGACCATTCTGTTCTTTACCAGATTTCCCCCTTGTAATACATATTGTGACCCCACCCTACCCAACATATCATAATTTAGACAATTTGAAATCTACACTACCCAAGAATGCTTCCACACAAGTTTCAGCTTTGCTGGCCCAGTGGTTCTTGAGAAGAAGATTTTTAAAGATTTTTCCTATATATTTCTATGTAAAACTTGGATTCCCTATTGTAGCCCCACCCAACCCCCCGGGGTCATGATTTAAGTAATTTAGAATCTACACTACCCCAGGATGCTTTCACATAAGTTTCAGCTTTTCTGGCCCAGTGGTTCTTGAGAAGAAGATTTTCAAAGATTTTTCCTATATATTTCTATGTAAAACTTTGATTTCCCACTGTGGCCCCGCCCAACCCCTGGGGGTCATGATTTGAACAATTTAGAATATACACTACCCCAGGATGCTTCCACATAAGTTTCAGCTTTTCTGGCCCAGTGGTTCTTGAGAAGAAGATTTTTTAATGACCCCACCCTATTTTTGTCTTTTCTTGATTATCTCCCCTTGTGAGGAGACTTGGCCCTTCATTTTAATAATTTATATTCCCCTTCACCCAAGGATGCTTTTCACCAAGTTTGGTCAAAATTGGCCCAGTGGTTCTTGAGAAGAAGTCGAAAATGTGAAAAGTTTACAGACGGACGGACAGACGGACGACGGACAAAATGTGATCAGAAAAGCTCACTTGAGCCTTCGGCTCAGGTGAGCTAAAAAGTCTTCTCAGAGGGATTAAAGGGGCTGGGTGGTTGTGGCCATTTTTAGACTATTTAATCTCCTTTAGAAGAAGAGCTCCATATAAAGATATAATAAAATGATCAAATTTTAAAACTAAAATTTATGAAATTTTCTTTGCCAAATGATAGTTGACAGCTTAAGATATCATATCCCAAAATTTAAGTTATATCTGGTAGTTCATAAAAAAAATAATTTGTTGACCCCTAGCCTGCTTAAATATGTGAAGTATGAAAGCCCTAGTCCTTATTGTTCAAAAGTTATGGCCAAGGTTAAAGTTTTTTATAAAGCACATAAATCTCCAAGGTCAAAAGGTCAAAGTTGTTGGTATCCAAGGAAAGGTCTTTTCATAAATAATACATGTGTGAAGTATGTAGTCCTAGTATCTAAGGTTCAAAAGTTATGGCAAAAGTAAAAGTTTAGAATTTTTGTGTAAAAGTGTGTCAAACTCCAAGGTCAAAAGGTCAAATTTGGTGGTACCTAAAGAAAGGTGTTGTCACAAAGAATACACATGTAAAAATGAAAGTCATAGCTCCACTAAATCAAAAGTTATGGGCGAGGTTAAATGATAAAGTCTTTCCGGACAAACAGACAAACAGATATATCTATAGACAGGCAGCTGGGCGGACACAACAAAAACTATATAACCCCGAATCTTCGGTTACAGGGACATAAAAATTTGGAAATGGACGACCAGAGAGTTATACAGCGCCACTCATTAAAAATAGTGTTTATTTAAAGTGTGCAAGTTGAACACAGTCCTTGATTATTTATTTCTTTATACTTACATTCAGTGTAATTTTCCTTATATCTACGACGTTCAAATTTCTATAACACACGCGAAACCATGTCACCGCGCATTAGAATACACAGTAGGAACTATGTGCATTTTCTATACTCTAGGAACACAAAAATATAAAATGTTTTATTTCAATTTAATGAAAAACTATAACCCTGAAAAATTAACTTAAAAATTAATGTAATGTGCGTTAAGAATTAATTTGTCACTTTTTTCCTCGCAATGTTTGTTTGCGTTATTTAACTTTGCAACGTCATTTAATGTCATTTGACGTCACAAACGGCTCTTACATCTATTAACCACGGCAGTTTTGAAGGGCGCTAAATTCACATTTAAGATTAACGAAATAAGCAATTATGAAGAAGGAAAATTAGAGAATGTAAATATAAGCATTGAATTCATATTTTTGGATGTCTTCGGTCCTATAACACACCTGGCCGTGCCGACAAATTATCATACCGCGCGTTAGCGCGGGATGATAAATTTTAGGCACGGCCAGGTGTGTTATATACGAAAGCCGGATAGGCTCATTTTTGAAAAGAAAAAAAAATATTTAATTCGTTATAACGAGTAAGTAATCTCGTTATAACGAGTCAGTTATCTCGTTATAACGAGTTAGTATCTCGTTATAACGAGTTAGTATCTCGTTATAACGAGTAAATTATCTCGTTATAACGACTTAGTTTTATCTCGTTATAACGATTTAGTATCTCGTTATAGCGAGTTAGTTAACTCGTTATAACGAGTTAGTAAATTCGTTAAAACGACTTAGTTATCTCGTTATAACGAGTTAGTTATCTCGTTATAACGAGTTAATTATCTCGATATAACGACTTAGTTATCTCGTTATAACGAGTTAATTATCTCGTTATAACGACTTAGTTATCTCGTTATAATGAGTTAATAAACTCGTTATAACGAGTTAGTTATCTCGTTATAACAAGTTAATTATCTCGTTATAACGAGTTAATTATCTCGTTATAACGACTTAGTTATCTCATTATAACGAGTTAATTAACTCGTTATAACGAGTTAGTTATCTCGTTATAACGAGATAATAATCTCCTTATAACGAAATGATAAGTTTCCCCTTTATTTCCAAATTTAATAGCAATGTGGGAATTAAAAATGGATGTAGTTTTAATGCCATTGAAATTTAGTTGATAATTATCAGTCGTACGTAACTTTAAAATTGATATATTTAGTTGCAAATTTAATTTGCGATATGGTTTGAATAATATTAATTCTGAACTATCTGGCTGTCAATAATCACATTTTGATAAGTATAGCAATCTTTATTTGAAAACATTTACACATTTATTCGTTAACGTGTCAAAGGACATAATATTAAAAAAATATATATTGCCAAATGTACTTGCTTCAAAGTTTGGCAATTTATGTATGACAACTTTCTCCGATAAAAGACACTACTTTTTAAATATGTTTTGGATGACTTATTAGCTTTCATAATCAATGTCTATGAACTTAAATTTATACATTATGATAGCAACCTAACACAGGCATTAATGCAACATATATTATATACACAAAAATGTTTGAAGAAGGGGGATATGGAGACATCAGCAGTTAGGTCATGGGCGTAAAATTCTAGGGGTACTGCCAACACAACATCACGAGACAGTCATAAGTTTCGGTATACATGTATTTGTCTTCGGTCTTTTAAGTAAACAATACAAATCAACTGCATCGTTTATACATAAACGAACTACAATCAAAGGAACAACCCCTCGAAAAACAAAAAAAAAAACTAGTTTGCTGTTTTTCAACAAAATCTTTATCATACACACTTTATTAAACAACCTTGATCGACTCGGTTTTATATGCTCTACTTCCTATCATTTAGATATATCAACTTTAGACCAGTGTTTAACTCGTTATTACGAGAAAATCAACTCGTTATAACGAGAAAAATTAACTCGTTATAACGAGATAACTAAGTCGTTATAACGTGATAACTAAGTCGTTATAACGAGATATTAACTCGTTATAACGAGATAATTAATTCGTAAACGAGATAACTAAATCGTTATAACGAGATAACTAACTCGTTATAACGAGATAACTAACTCGTTATAACGAGATAATTAAGTCGTTATAACGAGATAACTAACTCGTTATAACGAGATACTACTAACTCGTTATAACGAGATAATTAACTCGTTATAACGAGATACTAACTCGTTATAACGAGATACTAACTCGTTAAAACGAGATAAGTAACTCGTTATAACGAGTTAAATTTTTTTTTATCTTCTCAGAAATGAGCCTATCCGGCTTTCGTAGTTATAGGACCGAAGACATCCAAAAATATGAATTCAATGCTTAAGTATAAACATGATAAATGTACATATTAAAGCTACCATCTTCCTTTGGGTATCAATAATTTAGACATCATGTGACTGTGAAAGAACTAAGACACAACTGTACACTCTTGTATTAATACCCTTTTAGTTTATGATCAATAAATCCACTTCTGTTTCCTAACCCATCGCCATCGGCATCGGTGGGTTTGTCTGTCTACTTTCATTTTCAGAGGCCATACATATGCAGAAATAACCACTTATCCTACGTTTTAGCAAATGACATGACTACTCTGAAATGTATGGTCATTGTTTGATTAAATGTCAATTGATTAAAAGCGCTAGCAAACTTACCTTGCAGATTCTCCCTTGTTTCTTGAATAAAAAAAGATTTCGTACTTTGAACTTTGACCTATGGTAAAAGTTAAAGACGAGTATGATCATGAATCCGGAATATTTTATTATATTAATGTTCTTGTAAAACACAGACAAATCAGGCACCAAAGCAATAATTTTCAGGGTTAAACATCTAGATTTAGAATGTCTTGATTTTATTCAAATAATCATGTTTGAAATATTAAAAAATTAGTAAAACACCCCCCTCCCCCCCCCAAAAAAAGTCAATGGAAAGATTCAGTTTCTTATTTCAGAAAGTACATAATTTATACTGAGTATACAATTTGGAATCTTGAGTTAATCAAAACTCAAAGGCCTTCAAACAGGTACCATGCATGAATACACTCTTCCCAGGCGCGGATTTTTATCAACGCACTTTGAAAATTATTTTCAGGGGTCCGTTTTACAAAAGAACTAAAAAAGATCCAAATTTCCTTTTGCTTACAACTTTCTAATTTTATTGAAAATTGTTTTAATCTATGAAACATATGGAGATAGTATTAATTCAAGAACAAAAGTCCATAAAACTCTACAAAACAGGAGCAGAGCAAACATGGACCTCCAAAACATCAGAGATGGAATCAGGTGCCATGGAGGAGTGAGCATCCCGTGCTGTCCGGAAACACCCGCCGTGTGCTCCTTAATGTCATGATCGAACAAGATGTGTTTGTGAAACACACTATGCACCCTGCGGCAACAAAGTTAAAAAAACATATTTTTAGCAATAGGTCACAGTCAAGGTCACAAGGTCATTGATCTTGGTGTCATTTGAATAAACTTGATATAATGAAGTATGTATACCAAATATGAAGTCTCTATCTCTTATGGTTCAACAGTTATGGTGAAGGTTCAAAAAAGGTATTTTTAGCATATAGGACACAGTCAAGGTCACAAGGTCATTGACCTTAGTGTCATGTGGAAGGGCTTATTTAGTGAAGTACTTGCCAAATATTAAGTCTCTATCTCTCTTCATTCAAAATTTATGGTGAAGGTTAAATTAAGTTTGCCGACAAAAAAGCTATATTTAGCGTACAGGTCACAGTCAAGGTCACAAGGTCATTGACCATGGTGTCATTTAAAAGAGCTTAATCAGTGGTGTATGCATACCAAATATGAAGTCTCTATCTTTTATGGTTCAAAAGTTATGGCAAAGGTTAAAGTTATAGTTAAAAAACAATTTTTAGCATATAGGTCACAGTCTAGGTCAAGGTCACAAGGTCATTGACCTTGATGTCATTTGAAAGAACTTAATTAGTGGAGTATGCATACCAAATATGAAGTCTCAGCTATTCATGGTTCAACGTTATTGCGAAGGTTAAAGTTTGCAGACAAACAGACAGACAGACAGACAGGACAAAAACAATATACCCGGTACGCCTCGGATCTTTCGATGCCGGCGCATAATAAAAATAAATCCGTCGTCAATTCAGTGTATAAATAATGGACTAACAATTAGTATGAAAAACGTCAGTGAAACATTTGACTCAATGATAAATTGTACTTGTTGACAAGGTCGTATTTATAAAAGGAATTGAGGAAGATGTTTTTATGTTAGCAACTTAAAAGAGAATAATTAATTTGGCCAAAATCTACAACCAACTAAATTTTTTGGTTTTAGTCGTAAGTTCTTTTGAAAGTCAGGGGACATTATAAACTCTTGTTCGTCTGTCCGTCCGTCAATCTATAGGTCTGCCCGTCTGTTTCAAAAAACTTTAACCTTGGTCATACAATGAAGCGCATTGAAGTGGTAAAATTTTCTGTTCGAATGGAACGTTTTGAGCTATCTTTAGAACGTTTATTGTCATCTTATGACACGCCCATTTCTTTAGAAATAGATAAAACGGTCAATTTGTTTATTCGAATACCTGTAGAACAGGTTTCCATAAATATAATAGCCAATGAAATTGACGGTCTAAATAAATACCGAGTAAACACGTGTTCGACCGAAACATGTGTTGTGGTAACTTCAATAGACACGATAAGTTCAAAAATATGTACATATTCGTTGCAATTTGTGTTTTACAGAAGCGGAGAGTCTCTAACTCTCTCTTCTAATGTTTTTAAAGCTCCATTTCAGTGTAACTCATATTGCTTGTCGCGAAGAATGGGGTGTCCTAAAACATTACGACGAATATTTCTTTCTCGTTTCTAAAAATGTGGGCGTGTCATTATGTTGTAATTGACGTTCAAAACACGACTCAGAACGTTTTATCCAAACGGAAAATTTTACCACTTCAATGCGCTTCATTGTATCTTTTGAATGAGAAGAGAAAAGACTTTCATATTTAATATACATGTGTATAACCTGTGACAAGACCTTCTTAAATGCATGTACACTATTATTTTTGACCCTATGAACTTGACCTTAAAGTTTAATCTTCTTTTAAAAATTTAAACATAATTTAATTTTTAAATTTGGCCATAACTTTTGAATGAACAGAAATAGGGCTTTAATATTAAACACGTGTATTACCTGTGACAAGACCTCGTGACCTTGACCTTGAAGTTTGATCTACTTTTCAAAAACTTTAACCCTGGTCATAACTTTAGGATGAGAAGATTTAGATCTTCTCCTTTCACATGTATATTACCTCTTTCGGTGTTTTAGTGGGTAAGATGCCAACATACGTATATGGCATATTGTGATAAAGAGGAACACTCCATAATATGTCATTCTTGAAAAAGTAATAACCAAAGTTTTAAATATTTTTGAAAATTATGTCAAACATGAAGGTCAAAGTCAAGGGGTCAAAAATCATAGCATCCTCGGAAACATCTTGTCACAGGTAATGCACATTTTTGATATAAAAGCTATATCTCTTCTCAATCAAAGGTTATAAGGAAAAAAAATAACATTTTTTGAAAAGTAGGTCAACCTTCATGGTAAAGGTCACAAGCCCAAAAATTATAAAATATATAGACAGGTCTTGTCACAGATAATATGCATGTATAATATGAAAACTCTATCTTTTCTCTTTCAAAAGACCAATTTAAAGTAATGTTAAATTTTTGAAAAGTAGGTCAAACTCAAAGGTCACGGGGTCAAAGAATTATAGTTTGTATGTAGAAAGGTCTTGTCACAGGTAATACACATGTTTAATATGAAAGTCATATCTCTTCTTATAACCTGTGGAAAACAACAAACCAAGACCCAATCACTCAGCAAATAGCCCGTAGAAAGTGGTGATGGATTGGGCATACTCTCCGACATTACACGCCACGCTCTCGAGTGGAGTCCCCAAGGCAAACGTCGAATTGGACATCCCAGGACAATTTGGCGAAGGTCATGTGAAGAGGAAAATTGAAAAAGACTGCTCAAAACAGAGTGCGATGGAGGACTTTTAAATTGTTGCCGAGGTCCTATGTTCCACCAGGAACCAAAAGCTAGACAGGCGGACGAATACGATAAAAACTAATCTTCGATTACAAACAAACAAATAATCACCCACTGTAAACTCCTTCCTCAAAAGTGAAAAACCCATGTCGGGGGGATGGGGGTGTTAGTCATTCCTTCAAATCCTTCATGTCTATTCCCAAGTATCTATACGACCTACATGAACCAAACTAAAATGGATGATGTATCTAGGGATGAACACTGCTAGACTTGTTTCGGATGCTGGATCTGACTTTCTCCAAATAAGTGACCAGGCTTAAGTTTTTGGAGCAGGTCCATTCCCCACTAACTTTAAGCCCTTCCTGGATCAAAGTTGCATGGATGATGCATCTGGGGTTGGATACTACTAGACTTGCTTCGATGCTGGATCTGACCTACATTTTCCAGACGAGTGACCATGGTAATGCTTTTAGCTTTTAGCTCTGTAATTTTACTGCCTGTTTGTGTTATGATTTTACTTGCATTAATGATGCATCTAGGGATGGACATAACCAGACTTGCTACAGATGTAGGAAATGAGAGACCAGGTTAAAGTTTTTGGAGAAGGTCTATCAACTAGTATCTATAAGTCCTTCCTGGACCATACTTACATGGATGATCCATCTAGGGATGGACACTACTAGACTTGCCTGTGATGCTGGATCTGACCTTCATTTTCTAGATGAGTGACCAGGTTCAAGTTTTTGCAGCAGGTCTATTCCCAAGTAACTATAAACCCCTACCTGCACCATACTTGCGTAGATAATGCACCTAGGGATGGACACTGCTAGACTTGCATCGAATGCTGGATCTGACCTTCTCCAGATAAGTAACCTGGCTTTAGTTTTTGGAGCAGGTCCATTCCCCACTAACTTTAAGCCCTTCCAATCCTGGATCAAACTTGCATGGATGATGCGTCTAGAGCTGGGCACTACTTGACATGCTTCAATGCTGGATCTGACCTACATTTTCCAGACGAGTGACCAGAGTAATGTTTTTGGAGTACGTAGCTCTATAATTTTATTGTCTGTAATGATTTAACTTGCATTAGTTGTGGATATTACCAGACTTGCTTCAGATATAGGAAATGAAAGACATTTTGTTGATAGGTGAACAGGTAAAAGATTTTGTATTTATAGACCTACTATTTAATTAGAACTTGCATGGATATTGTTGCCAGGATGCATACAAACTATACAGAAACAAGAGATGTTTGTAAAACACTTATTGCAAATACAAAAATGTAATTAGAATTTTTTAAGCCCCCCCCAAAATGCCTCACTTTCCACAGACACGAACTTTGCTGTATAGGTTAGAAATGGGATAAAAATTTTATTTTTGTGCAAAAAAAAAAATTTGGAACTGAAATTCGACCTGACCTACTGCAGCAAAGCAGTATGCTCTTTGAAAATAAATTTGATCGATTGGGAAATTGATAACATTCTTCAAGGATTTTCTTGTTTGGTTAAACCAGCAATTCCTTTTCTGTTTTCATATTCTTATAATAAATCTGTATACAAAATTTTATTTCAATATTGTGCAACCACTGCAAAGAAAATGAATGGAAACTGATGGTGGACCGACTGACTGCAAGAACTATTTGCCTATTTTAATAAACATAAAAGATTTCAATACACTTTTAAAAACATGTCTAGTACCCATGAGTTACTCATATGGATGCTTTTCATGATGTCACTATTGTCTACAATATTCAAAGAAGTAAAGAAATCAACAATACCATGTACTAGTATAATTTAGAGCCACTTTTCAGGATTTGCACTACTTGACCAAGTCCAAGATTTCCCAACAGCTTTATTATCATACTGGTACTTAACTGTACATATGCAAATGCCTGAATCATTCTATCCATCTAATACCAGTATTTCAATTATTCAACATGTCACCTATGATTTGTACTGTGAAATTTGTTAACACTTAGGGGTTCTACTTTTGTGGATATCCAAGGAACCAATGCCCTGTAACATATAATTTTTAGCAACCCATAAAAATTGGTCAAACTCATTCAATTCCACCATAAATTATTTGAAAACTTGAATAGATAAATAAATCCAGAGAGTGTCAGGTAATTACATATATTTATTCCAGTAGATCCGATATTACTGGACAACAAGTCTCACATAACAAAAGAGGATGAAGATGATGACTATGTGTTAGGTGACATTGCTAAAAACCCTTATATATACAGAACACAGCCATCAAATGTCATCAATGAGCAAAAAGATCCATAAAACAATATATTATATGGCAAAAAAAGACATTTCTCTTTAAACTTTATACAAGTATACAGATGTAAATATATATATTTTTATATCTAGACTTTTTCTTTCTCTTACAAAAAAATGTGTGCAATATAAAAAAGTTAATTGTTCATAAAAATATCTCCATAAGAAACGAATACATGCAACAGAACAAGGATAAATAGTGATAATAAAAAAAGGCTGCATTTAACCCAGGTTATTATCCATTAACAACAATGAAAGAACATGTACCTAAAAATAGCACGACCCTCCTTGTCAAAGGTAGACAATATATCATAGTACAATTTGCACACCAAATATTACTAAAATGTTATATTCAATACAATTAAAAAATGAATATGGCCTCAATTTATCTCCCTTTTCAGTGGAAGGTCATGCCTCATTATCATCTCACAAACACACACCGTAAAAAGGGGAAAAACATACATACAAACAAGATAAATAACGAGGACATACATAATTCATAACTGAACTGCACCAATTAAAATGACTCAAAGTGTGAGGTCTACATCTACACAGCCAATAAAAACTATACACAATCAACATCCAGTGCATCTATGACCATAAAGAAGCAACAAAAAGCATTCAAGCGAGACCACAGGCATATATAAATTTATTATATCTATTTCATTCACACAAATTTGATTCTTTCTAATACTTTTAAATAGACAATGGCCCAACTGACTTCTCATAAGAACATATATAGCATTAACAATGCTAATATTCATTGTTTCATGAAGAAACATCACGAAACTCATTTCTGTATAAACATTTGATGTACAATGGAAATTTTAAAGAATTACCATTGCATATTATCTGTATATACAAAAAAAGCAAGCTTATTTAGTAACCGGGGGTAGTACATTGCTTGATGCAGTATTGTCAATTACCAGCTCTTGCAACAAGTAATTCTCTGAAAGCAACATGGACATTACAATAGCTAATTATTAAGGTTTACCCATCCATTAACAGAAATAGATTCACCTGATTCTTTCCAATCAGAAATAATAAATAAATGGAATTTTCATCATAGCTATGATCACAAACAATGTTTCTAATCAGACCAATTTAAAAGTTGATATGTAACAAAATCATATAATCAAAAAAAAAAAAAAAAAAAAAAAAGGGAATTCTAACAATTGCAGTCCTTTGTCAACTTCTGTGTATGCAGAATTAAATTTACAAAACAGCATTTATTTTCTAACAGCACCTGAAAATGGAGGTAAATGGGGTCCTTTATTATTGATTTGGCTCATTCCTTAATTGGTAGGAACTATTATTAATCAATACTCATTTGAGGGCCATTCATAAGCGGGTAGATTCCATTTTTCAATAAACCATGATACCATATAGTGGGTTTTCTTGGCGTTTTGCCTGCTCAAAGGTATGCCAATAATTTTGGCGTAATTTATTTTAGCGGGCGCAGGGTTTCAGCTATTTGCAGATGGACACTAAGAAGAGTACTGACTATTTTAGCGATTAAAATTTTGGTGGACTATTATCAAAGTGCCAAAATTAGCACCCTGCTACAAAAAACCCGCCATATGGTATCTGTTTTAAGGAGGAATGCCCCACTGTTCCCTCAAAAATAAATTTCATTTGAACATTCATTTTCCATAACGTCTAATATCGCATATAGAGGCCTTTTCATTAAGTAAATGAAGTTTCTATACCCTTGACAAATTTCACAATCTGATTTTTGATTCTACATGGTTTGTGCACTTGAAGATTTTGATACATTTAACTAACAATGTTAAGTAGTTTCTGAGTAAGATCACAGACATTTATCACAAACATCACAAACCCAACAGAATCATACAAGGCAACAACAAAACAATGCACTACAGGGTGTTTGTCAAGTGATATACAAAGTGTAAAGAGAGGTCTTATTAGTTCAAAGGTTGAGGCAAAAGTCAACATACATAGATGGCTGTGTTCACGTAAGAAAATACCGTCATGGATTTAAGCTTGTCATACATAGAACAGTATGTTTATAAGTACAAAAGACAGATTGCACTAATATACACAAATTATGTTTTATACCATGTATTAAAGGAATAAAATCTATACAAAAATTGATAAAATCAAAGTATATCCTTAAACATGAAAAATGACTTTTTGATCAATTTGAGTTAAACTTTTACATGATAAGCTGAAAGCTTCTTCATTCTTTCTCTAACTTTATATCCAGGATGCCATTTTATGAATTACAGTACAATTGCGATATAAAAATTAACAATGCCCAGACTAATACTAAGTGATTTTTGTTTTTAGTACTTTCCTCCAAGCTGTTAATTTCAAATATAAAATAGATGCTACTGTCTTTGTGCTGACTATCAGGCATTGAGAAGAAAAAAGCTTGCTCTTTGACAGTCCATTAGATACTGAGGTTTGAAGCCTTTGCTTCTGTTTTCTTTCCATGTTGTTATTTTGGTACACCTGACTTGCAGATAACTGTTGAAATTGACTCATTCTTAATATAAAATGATTTTTTTTCACTCATATCCCTTAAATGACAAATTTGACAGCCAAGGGCCTTGCCTTTGCTCAAAGCAATACATAAACATGTAGCTGCCAAAGAAAGTAACTGCACATTCTGCATGTGGCTCGACAATTTGTTATACAACCCCATCTTCAGAATGTTTCAGTGTCTCTGTTTTAAATGAATAACATGTCTCGTATGTGACTTCTAGTATGTACTGTATGTGAATCATGGACTTGCAAATAAAAATTATACAAAATTTCATTGTTATATATTACACGTATTATACCTAGACATCTATAAATAACAAAGCGACTATTTTACTATAATAAAACCAGTAACTCTTGATATCAAAATTCTTTTGTGAAGACTGTCTGTCCTGTCTGTATCATCATCAAAATAACCTCTATACATCCATGTTCATGTACGACTAGCTTTTGGTTTGTTGACACTCTATCATTTACATGCTCTGGATAATACAAGTTTAACTTTAAGTTGCCTGCCTTATTTTAAGTAAATACAAAAGATATAATAAAGGTGTGTAATATTTTTTCTTATATTAACATACAAATGAGATTTTAAAAACTACTGAGTGATAAATTTCTTTGAGAGTTGAAACAAAAATTCTACATAAATGTTCAAAATTATCCTGAATCTCATCTGAATATCAAATAAATATGTTCAAGTGTTCAGGATTCTACTTTAGTTGTAAAAAATGTAATTCAAAATTCTAATTCATCAAATCTAAGTATGTAAGCAAATGAGAACTTGCAAGCAGCTCTTACAAGACTAAATACAGAGACTTGATGAAGACATGTGAGATTCTATTGGCATCTTAATGTTCATGTGATGACAGTATATGTAATATATCTGAGGTTAACTGGGTACCATACAAGTTTAATATTCAAGATGGATGGACTTGACCTTAGGAAAAGCAAAAAAACCTGACAAGTTAGTCACAAACCAAAAATTAACTGTAAGATTATTTACATTTGGTTGTGTGACAACCCTCATTGGTTTTCTTAAAACTATTCATCCCTATTACAGTATTTTTTTTTTCACTTCATTTCTATACAAAAATTGGCATACATTGTATTTTCATTAAAAAAAATACAAGCCATCGTTGTAACATCTTACATTTAAATCAGTGCAGAAGAACAGATTTAGCAGGCTCTGTAAAAAAAAAAACATAATATACTGGAGAGGAGGATGGGGTTTTGGTGAAACCTGTATCTTAATAATTTATAAATATGGCTCAGGCAACAAAGAAGTAAAAAGAAAGCACTTGTAGACTAAACTACAGCTTAAATAAATCCTTGAATGGAGAGTTTGATTGTCTGTCAATCCTTTGATGAGAATTCCTAGATGATCTCCTTTAGATATCGTACGTAAGGCAGCACACACAATGGGAAATAACAAGTATCTGTTGCAGAATAATTTGGAATGTCTTGAAGAATCTGGTTGGTGGCAGTTTTGTTGACAATGAATAATACTTCTGATTTTTTTTAACGAAGAGCACACAGCACTTGTGCTCAGTGAATAAAAGATGTACTTCAACATCACTGTGGCACCATCTCCAATTGCTAGGTTTATAGCACACATAGTCTTGGAAAGCACTGACCTCTTAAGTATGAATCCTGATACAGAAATAAAATGGTGGCCGCTAGTTACACACGAGGCATCTTCACAATGAGGCTACAGAAAAGCATATCATTCTGTTTGCAACTAATGAACTGATATCATCAAATGAAAACTATCAAAATTCTACACAACTATAAAATGCTTGGAGGCCATTTTATAATAAATTATTTGAGATACTAAGTTCACATGTAGATCACAGATCTAGGACCTATGTTCTAATTTAAAGCTGTCCTCAGTAGCAGGGTCTGTAATCAGATTTGGGTCTGTTAACATCTGAAGTCCATCGAAATCCAAGGGGCCTAATCCCACTTTGAGAACTTCTTCGTCGGAGGCAAACAAATCATCTGCAAAACTCTCTGACATCCCTGTAATAGCATTACCCAATTCTTTAGCAAAGTCTTGTTGATATGAATTTGTATCATCAGCTCCTAAAACAAGAACAGGCACTAAACTAGCAGACATAGCACAGTACATGTAAAGCAATAAATCAATCAGTGAATTTCTGCTACCTTAGCTTGATCACTCACTATATACAACAACTTCTTACTTATGTCCCTTTTACAATATAAAGGATACCAACCCCCCGAACAAACATCAGTACATCACACTTTATTATTAAATGATCAGGAATTTCGATGCTCTCTGATTGGTCCACATGTTCATAATATATTTTTCAATTTTAAACTAGTAAAGCTTCAGATAGACATAAACTTTTATATTCACTTGTCCTTCGGGCAAGTGAACTACAATTTTGACTTGTCCGAATGCAAAACTTGGGTTGCCCAAATTTTTTAAAGAAGAAAATAACAGTTACTGTATCATACTTTGTTGTTGTGAATATTAAAGAGTGACAAAATAATTTCTATTTTGAAGTTAACTGCCAGAAAAAATGTTGATATGACGGTGATACTACATTTTTATTTGTGAATATATGTAAACCACTTTCCTGTAATTTACTATCCTGAAAACACGTCACAGAGTACTACAGGAATATATATTTTTCTTATGATTTTTTTTTTTGATTTTAAAAATCTTCCCTAAACAAGAGATGTTTGTAAAACACTTATGCCCCCCTCCCCCCAAATTGGAATTTTTCCAAGTCCAAGGAGCAAAACTCTGTCAAAAATGGCACGATTGTACCCAAAACAGAATTTGACCTAGATATTCATCTGATAAATCTGTATACTAAATTTCATCTCAGCATGTGCAACGGTTGTGAAGAAAATGAACGGAAACTGCAAATAATTGGAATTTTTCTAAGTCCAAGGGGCATAACTCTGTCAAAAATGGTGCAATCATACCTAAAACAAAATTTGATCTAGATATTCATCTGATAAATCTGTATACTAAATTTCATTTCAGTATGTGCAATGGTTGCAAAGAAAATGAACGAAAACTGCAAATAATTGGAATTTTTCTAAGTCCAAGGGGCATAACTCTGTCAAAAATGGCGCAATTGTACCCAAGCCAGAACTTATCCTAGATATTCATGTGATATATCTGTATACTAAATTTCATCTCAGTATGTGCAACAGTTGTGAAGAAAATGAACGGAAACTGCAAATAATTGGAATTTTTCTAAGTCCAAGGGGCATAACTCTGTCAAAAATGGCAGGATCGTACCCGAAACAGAACTTGACCTAGATATTCATGTGATATATCTTTCAGTATGTGCAACGGTTGCGAAGAAAATGAACGGAAACTAAGTGGAACGACAGACCGACGGACCGACAGACAGCAGCAAAGCAATATGCCCTCCCTTCTTTGAAGGGGAGCATAAAAATTGAGGTCACTCTTTTGGCGCAAATCAAGTGTTCAATTTATTGGTTGAAATGTTAATAAACTTATGTAAGATTTAAAAAAAAGTTTTTCTAACAGAAATATCCACTTGCCCAATCGGACAAGTACATCGACGGTTTCATTTGCCAAAACTGAGAATTTACTTGTCCCAGGCAATCAGACAACTGTTAGTGTCGATCCCGAGCTTTTGAAATATAATGTCCGATAAAGTGTTGTTACAGTACACTTTATATTATGAGTGTTTATATTTGTTGGTGACAAGAACTAAAGTGTAAAAAAAAATGTAAGATTCTCGATCATTTAATAAAATGGTTATTGACTTATATTTACATTTGCAAATGTTTTCCTTTATATAACACTACTGAAAGCAATGCGTATCTATAAATACCGGTACGGGGTCAAGAGGTCATAGATGTGTGTATGGATAAACGTTCAACGTAATTTCTCGGTGACGTCATAAAGGGTCGATGCGCGTTTAGTGGATTACATACATGCCGTTAGGTTTGAAAAATAATGCATTTCACACGTTAAAAGTCACAATAAGGCAAATATAAAGTACGAAAAGTCACAAATGTAAATATAAGTAATAACGTATCATTTTAAAACATCTATCGGGCTATAAATACGGGTTGGTACGAGATCAAATTCATCATAAAAGCCCTTCGGGCTTTATGGAATTTAATCTTGTGACCAACCCGTATTTGTAGCTCGATAGATGTTTTAAAATGATACCTTATTTCTTAATTGAAGTTGGTATACTTGTGGCTATACAGAACTGGAAAGGTTTTTGTGTTATAAATCCAATTTACTATGTTTTACAGTAGTTACATTCATTACAAGTTTTAAAAACTGTAGAAAATGATAATAAAGATGATCATGATTTTTAGAAGGAATTTGTTGGCCATATTCTTTTATTGTTATTATGTCGGATGCCCCTATAATAGCCATTCAAAATTTGGCAAATTCAACATACATAGCATTAATCTGTGTCTGGATAAATTTAATTTTGGTAAAATCCTTTCCAAGTGTGAAAGAGAAAGTAACAGTTTAGTTCAATTCAGCTATTTCTTTTCAACGAAATCTAAATCAGTTGTCAGATACTTTCATGTTGGATCAGTTATCAATACTATTCATCTTCAGACTGAATCATTGCCTCTGGATACTCACCATTAAACACAATATCAGGAATCTTGCTGTGGTGAGAGAGGTGATGCGGGGACTGCTGAAGCTGGGCTTGGTTCATCCCCCGCGATCCACCCCCGACATCAGCCTGCTGTATGTAGTAGGGGTGGGGCTGCTGGTGGAACTCCTGACTCCCTGTCAGGCCATGCATCATTGCCTGAGACATGTTGACAGAGGGCTGAGAAGTGGTATAGCTTCCACTACTGACCCCATTAGAGAGATTTAAATTGTCAGCACTTGAATAATGGTTGTCTGGTGACTGAAATATAAAAAAGCAAATCATCTCTTAAAAATTTACCTAAAAACACCCTTATAATAATGTAAACGAAAAAAAAAACAAGAAGTTGATGGGCCTTGACAGCTATTCATGTGTCATTTTGATCATTTTTTGTCCCTTCACTTTCACATATACAAGAGATGTTTGTAAAACACTTATGCCCCCCTTCCCCCAAATTGGAATTTTTCCAAGTCCAAAAGGGCAAAAATGGCACAATTGCAGTGTACCCAAAACAGAACTTGACCTGGATATTCATCTGATAAATTTGTACACAAAATTCCATTTCAGTATGTGCAAAGGTTGCCAAGAAAATGAACGGAAACTGCAAATAATTGGCATTTTTCTAGGTGTAAGGGGCATAACTCTGTCAAAAATGGCGCAATCATACCCAAAACAGGTCTTGGCCTAGATATTCATCTGATAAATCTGCACACTAAATTTCATTTCAGTATGTGCAACGGTTGCAAAGAAAATGAACGGAAACTGCAAATAATTGGAATTTTTCTAAGTCCATGGGGCATAACTCTGTCAAAAATGGTGTGATCGTACCCAAAACAGAACTTGACCTAGATATTCATCTGATATATCTGTATACCACAGTCCATTTCTGATCAGTTTGTGAAACTGGTGCCAAGAAAATGAACGGAAACTGCAAATAATTGGAATTTTTCTAAGTCCAAGGGGTATAACTCTGGCAAAAATGGTGCGATCGTACCCAAAACAGAACTTGGCCTAGATATTCATCTGATATATCTGCATACCAAATTTCATTTCAGAACGTGCAATGGTTGTGAAGAAAATGAACGGAAACTAAGTGGACCGACAGACCGACCAACAGACAGCAGCAAAGCAATATGCCCTTCCTTCTTCGAAGGGGGGCATAATAAAATCATTGATAAGAAATTTTGTATAGGATATATAGCACATCCTCTGTATAAGCTTATTTACTCAGAAGTGTGCGATGACATATCATAGAGATCTTTTGTTTTTCTCTGAAATCTGCGTTCCTTTTTTTCATCTACCACTACTTTCACGTTAAACTTCAAACTTTTTGAATGAAACAACTATAGGGCTGGGAATCTGTGGCTTAGAATTTAAAAAAAAAACAAGAGATGTTTGTAAAACACTTATGCCCCCCTTCCCCCAAATAGGAATTTTTCCAAATCCAAAAGGGCATAACTCTGTCAAAAATGGTGCGATTGTACCCAAAACAGAACTTGACCTAGATATACCTCTGATAAATCTGTATACTAAATTTCATTTCAGTATGTTAAATGGTTGCGAAGAAAATAAATAAAATAATTAAAATTTTTCTAAGTCCAAGGGGCATAACTCTGTGAAAAATAGTGCAATCATACCCAAAACAGAACTTGACCTAGATATTCATGTGATATATCTGTACGCTAAATTTCATTTCAGTATGTTAAATGGTTGTGAAGAAAATGAACGGAAACTGCAAATAATTGAAATTTTTCTAAGTCCAAGGGGCATAACTCTGTGAAAAATGGTGCGATCGTACTCAAAACAGAACTTGACCTAGATATTCATCTGATATATCTGTATACCAAATTTCATTTCAGTATGTTAAATGGTTGTGAAGAAAATGAACGGAAACTAAGTGGACCGACAGACCGACCGACAGACCGACTGACAGACAGCAGCAAAGCAATATGCCCTCCCTTCTTCGAAGGGGGGCATAAATATTTTCTTTATCAAAAACTTCTTTTTTGGCTCAATGGTTCTAATGTAGATTTATGGAACGATTATTAGTTTTAATTGAGTTATTGATGTGCAAATCACACAGACTTGTCACATAGGCATATTTCATGTAGTGTGCTAGTTCATCTGAAAAATGGTCACCTTGAGCCTTTTCAGGAGAGGTATTTTGCATTAATAAGAGAAAGAAATGTTCTCAAATTTTGAATTGCATTTCATACAAAAAGAAGTGCCTTTCCTCCTTTCCAGTAAGGACTGTGAGAGCTAATGTCTGGGAGACCTACCATTTTGAACTGTTCAAATTGGTGTTGAAGAGCCTGCTGTTGTTGCTGTAGATGGTAGTTGTCAAAGTTATTCCACGTGGAGGGGGGAAGTCCTGGAGACTGGGAGGGGGAGTACGATGGTTGGGAGTGGGGTGATGTGGGTGACTGACAGTTTTCTGATACACTGTTTCTATAATGTGATAATGAAGGCTGAAAAAAAGAGAAAAAATTACCAATACATTCATAAGACTCTGATAGGAGACACAGCTCAGAAGAAAGAAGTCAAAAAAATGATAAAAACAGAGCTTTAACGTTTTTAAAAAAAAATTACATTTAATTACTTTATGAGCATTTACGTCTTAATTATATTAAAACTGAAATCATATTAAAATTGCACTATATAGTTTTTTTTTCAAATGATAATATAAAAGGAAATCACATCCCATCAAAACTTTTTTTCCCTAAAACAAATTGGTTCAGTGTGAAATTTAACAGTTATATTAGTTACATGTACCGACAGAAATTTGATCCTGGATTCTATTTTAGCTACGGAATCGTACTAACTTTGAATCTCTACCATGCTTTTACATGCTATATATGTCTGAGGATTAAGGGAGGCATTTCAACACATTTCTTTAACACTTAGTACAAGACACCAAAAGCTTTTGAGCTTGCTTGTCAGTTGTTATTTGTTAAAAGAAAAAAAAATATACTAATCTGGAAAGATAAGTCTATATTCTTTCATATAAGTACTTATAATCAGTTCACCTTATCATAAACTGCCCAGTAATAGTTCAATAAGACTGGTAAGATAATACTTTTAAATTTTCCTATTTCACACTAGACTAAAGAAGCATTTAACACATTATACACAGTTTGCAAGGAGAGAGCATTCAAGTGCAGTTATCTGTTCCTACATTGTTAAATCTATATCATTAAATACCACAGAAAGACTTTTTCTTCCAGCTGTTGATGAACTTTCCTTTTTATGTGTTTTGTGACATTTGGAATCCTTTGAGACACATAACTACATCTTCTTTTTAAAATCAATGGTTGTCATATTGATAAAATAATCATGGCAGCAAACACTACCCCAGAAACTTAACCAATATCCGAATGTAATGTGATTACACTGTTAGATATAGTGAAATAGCAGGACTGTAATATGTTCCCTCTAATCTAAGGACTAGACTGTAATGTCTGGAGATGACAGAGGGATAGAGAGGGAGGGAGATAACATGCACCTACATAGACTTTGAACTACTGACCTGAGAATCATTTTGTTCGGCGGAAGTTATACAGACTTGTGGTAACCTTTGTTGAGGATTCTGTAAGACTGAGTTATTTGGAGGCTGCTGTGAAGATGGGTGGGGTGCTCCCACTCCCCCTGGGTGGGGGTTGGGGTGGGGCTGCGACTGATATGAATGATTGGGTGCCCTATGTCTCTGCTGCTGCTGATGTAAGTGTAACAAAAACTGTTGTTTTATCCGCGGATCCATGGGCAATTTACTAGGGTCGATATTAGGAACCTAAGAGTATACACAACAGAACTACAGCACAACGTTAAAGACTGGGGTGAACCAACAAATACAACACAATTACAAAATCTAAAGAAAAATCTCTTAAGAATTCCACAATTAACATTTTCTTAAACATCATTATGTATACAATACAGTGGACCCTCATTTATCCGGACGCTTTGGTTCCCAGTCAATTTGTCCCATATGTTGAAGCGTGGTTCTTGAGATAAGATGAAAATCACAAATCTAACTAGTGCTAATTGTAACGGGAACCGTAACAGATGTTCCCCAAACGCTCCCCAACTCCCTTTCGGTGCCATATTCCCTGTAAGCTTCACTAAATAAGACAAACTCTGTGCATTTTTGACTTTAACAATGGTTTCCCGTTTTTAAAAAAAATTATATTCAATTTTTAGCATTGCACCCAAGCGCATGTGAATGCATGTGCGTTATGACAATATCATCTTGTCTACACTATTTATATATTTTAATATACTATATATTAAAGCATTCAGTCCAAAAGTGATAAAAAAATTGAGTATTTTTAAAGTATATTAGTTACATGCACGCACGTGCGTGCACGTGCATGATGATCATACCTTCTTGTAGGAGTCCCTTACATCTATCTATGTTTTAAATCCCATCCTGTTTGGTTGAAAAACAAGGGAGTTATAGCCATTTAAAGTTTCAGCCAATCAGATTGCAACACACGTGCATGCGCGTGATTTCATGATTTTTTTTCTATATCATTTTGTAGGATATCCTAATGCATGACTATATTTTAAATTTCAAAGAATTTCGTCAAAAAACAAAGGAGAAATAGCCATTTAAAGTTTCATCCAATCAGATTGCAGCACACGTGCATGCTCGTGATTTCATGATTTTTTTTTCTATATCATTTTGTAGGATATCGTAATGCATGACTATATTTTAAATTTCAAAGAATTTCGTCAAAAAACAAAGGAGATATTGCCATTTAAAGTTTCAGCCAATCAGCTTGTAGCACGCGCACATGCGCATGCTTTCATGAAAATTCTTATATATCATGCGATAGATCTTCATAATGTAGGACTATGTTCAAAATTTCAAAGGATTAAGACAAGAAACAAGAAAGTTATTGAGACTTTAGTTTCAGCCAATCAGAGCAAAGCGCACGTGCATGCGCGTGAGATCTTGCTATTTTGACCATGCTATCTTGTCTATGCTACTAATGTATCCTTATATTATGAGTTTCAAAAAATTTCATCAAAAAATAGAAAAGTTACGGCAATATCCATTATATTGGTAATTTCACCTGTTATTTGCGCGCTCTTGCAAGCACGTGCGCGCAAAATGACCTTTGTTTGGCAACTGATATGAACATGCCTGTCTGACCTGCTAAAAAGGTTTCAAAATGTGTAGTTTACAAGATCACTCGTGGACAAAATTTTCCCAGGAAGAAGAAAAATAATAATAAGAATAATAATAATAAGAAACAGAACTAAAGCACAAACTTCGTTTGGGGTGAACATAACAAACAAAACACATTAAAAAATCCATTCCGAGAAAAATCTCTCCGGATTCCAAATCATTATTGGCGTCCATATTATGTATACAATATATATACTGCTAAATGGGTAATTTTCAATTTTTATCCAAATATATGACAAATTTTACATATTTCTAATGAGGAAAATATTATATTCCTCTTTTTTTTGTTCCTTTAATTTTGTTTTTTGTTAAGAACTTTCTTTATACATCATGCTTATTGTGGACTACCTAAAATTTCTTGAACAAATTAAAAGAATCAAAACACTATTAAACTGAAAAACATACACAACAGCAATTATCAGTAATTACAATCTCAAAACATTAAGCTTGGTAAAATAAAGTTTCAAATAAAGCTAAGAATTTCCACAACAAAAACAGAAAAAATGCACAATGGTTACTTTAGCATTCCTACAGAAGAAGCAACTCACACTAACTGGTGGTGAATGGGGCATCCTCATCTGTTGTGAGGGGGAGCTGCTCAAAACAAGTGGACTGGGACCACCTTGGTGGGGCCGCCGCCTCTGGGCAGGGCTCTGGGCCTGTGGACTAGCTGACTGCTGTGGCACCATTCCAACATGATGGGCACTAGTGGGAGAGAGGTTGGTGGGTTGGGTCACATAGTTTTGGTCTGGTTCAGCATCTAGAGGGGTGGTCAGAGGAGGGGGGAAGTGCAGGACTGTAAGGTCGGGCAATGAGCCTGTGTTATTTGTTATTGGAACTGTCATGCCTCCTGTGTTATTCTCTTGTTCAGCAGAGGGGTAAATACTGAAAAATACACAAAAAACATGTCTTATCCTATTTTAAGTTAATCTGACTTGTAATCTACAAATCTATAACATGTATAACAAGAGATGTTTGTAAAACATTTATGCCCCCTCCCCCAAATAATTGGAATTTTTCTAAGTCTAAGGGGCATAACACTATCTAACATGGCTTGATGGTACCCAAACAAAACTTGACCTAGATGTTCTTATGATAAATCTGTATACTAAATTTCATTTCAAGATAAGCAACCTCTGCAAAGAAAATGAACAGAAACTACAAATAATTGGAATTTTTCTAAGTCCAAGGGGCATAACTCTGTCCTTAATGGCCTGAATGTACCCATATTAAAAATAACTTGACCTAGATATTCTTATGATAAATCTGTATACCAAATTTCATTTCAATATGTGCAACCTCTACGAAGAAAATGAATGGAAACTGATGGTGTACAGACAGACTGACCGACAGACAGCAAAGCAATATGCCCTCCCTTCTTTGAAGGGGGGGGGGGGCATAATTAATCTGATATCAACTGGAAACAAGTGTTACAGAAAGAATAATGGACAGAACAGACAGACCCACAATGATAATTCACCAAAAGCAGGGGACGAAAAATAATTAGCCTTTATTTACATATCAAACAGACAGGGAAACTTTATATTCAAGATGTTTTCAATCAGATTAATGACCCCATGTAGTTAGGTAAATATTTGTAGTAGCAGAATGGCACTTGTGGATGATAATTTAATGACAGAAAGATTTCAAAAGACACTTATTGCCACTGATAAATTGTCACTTCCAATGCTTGTTTAGACTCTACTTATATGTTGTAGATAAATGGGAAACTCCTTTTATCAGTCTTGATAGGTTTAGACAGTGCAATTGAGAATTTTTTTGTTTAGCAAGAAAGCATTCATCAGAGTACATCATTCAACTCCTTACTTGATGTTAGGAACTTCACAGGATTTGGGCCGGGAACCAGGCATCTAAAGAAAATTGATCAGAATTAATAAGAGTCTGTAATAAGTTTATAATCTGTCAATGAATTACAGGCATCTTTTTTTTTAATGAGAGCTAAATAAATCATACCGATTCATCAAAAAAAAATTATTTGAATGACTGGTACTTAATCAACACAAAAAGTTAAAATTCATAATTATGTTTTCTGCTTTAAAAGTTAATTAAGCGCCAATCAAAGCTGTAGTTTTGTTTCAATACTTGCCTGTTTGGGGTCCCAGTATCCTTTTCTCATGTTATCATTCCCCATATTCTCTCCTACCATTTCCACAACTGTAAAAGTAGAAACAAACACGTCAAACAAACACAAAGTTCTAACATCACTTAGGGGTATATCTACGGCTATCTATCAAATTATTATGAAGTATCAATAAAGAGTCAATTGATATATATTTTACACATGGACTAATTAAATCCTCTTAATGAAATTGCTATTTGCAACTAAATATAGTAAATAAAACAGTGACCAGACCAATGTGATTACTATGTAAACAGTATAGAATCTGCATTCCTTATAATGCCACAGTTAGAGACAGTACACATGCTATATGTATGGAATACACACACCATTGTTCATAAATCATTCTTAAACCTTTACATAACCTGAACTTGACATGTGGTATTGTTCATTCTAGTTAATACTACACATAATGATTTCCTAATGTCATGGTGAATAAGTCATCATCTCCCCTTAAATCATCTTACACCACTCAATGAATCCCTCACTACCCCTTTATATCTCCAATTATTTCTCCTATGTAAATAAATTAGCATCAAAGTCTTCCAGAGCAATTGATTGTGTATCAAACAGAGTAATACAAAAAATGATTAATTTGGCAATGTTGATTTTTAATTATCTCTAGACATGACAGATGAGGATTTGTAAGAACAGCTACTGTGGACTGATTTATGCAGTTTAATTTGCACTGGGACTTACCAGATGTCTAAATGTGAAAATATGCTAAAACAAATTCAACAGACATTGTATTTCTCAAGGATCTCCATCTATATTTAATAAATGCATATGAAATTCAGCTTAGGCATACAGCTACACCATGAAGTATTATTTTAATTTCTTGAAAGTAAATTTATTGTATATATGCAGGAGTCTTTGTTGGCCTAAACACTTTATATCATGGAAATTAAACTTAATTACAAGCTTTCATATTGCATTAAATCTCTATAACTTTTCTTACAAGATAACTCTACTTCATTTTCCAAGTTTTAATTAGCCAAGTTTTTCTCATTATCATCTCAAGTGCAACAAGGATCTGTAAATTATGTTGTCTGTCTTGTTCTCCGTTCAAGCTGAGGAGTTTACGTGATACACCGTGCCATATAATTCTCCCGAGTCTACAAGAGTGTACACCTACTTTATTTTTATTGGGGGGAGGGCGATTTTCTCAACATTCAAAAATGGAAAGGACTGACCCTTTAAAAATAAAATCATATTCTTTCGAAGACTGGAACAATCTAAAATAATTCTAGCTTCACCCTTAATGCCCCAGAGGTTGGGTGCCAAGAAAATCTATGAAAAACATGTAATAGAGCTTTCCCCCTAATAATTAGTTTGGTTATACTTCTTGGAGAAAATGATTATGTGAAGAAAATTTTTTAAAAAACATATATACTAGAGATAGGAAAGATAGCATTAATTCTATCACTAAGTTTCTGCTTTATCAGTGTGTAAATGTATCCACACAACAATTTGGGAATCAGCAACTCCCTCCCCTCCCAAGAAAACAAACCTCATCTTCAGAAACCAACCACCCACATATTAAATACTCAGACATTATTGACACCTGTACTGATATCAAGAGTAAAAAGAAGTTGAACTGTACAGTGAGTATCCAACAGCCTCTGAAACAACTGCATTGGTTATAACTTGATATTTCATCTATTTTATTTGTATATCTGATTAGAATATAAGTAAGAGAAATCCAGACATTTTAACAGACTGAAGCATTTAAATAATTTATATCTCAATGACATCTGTTCTCTTTCCCCTACATATGTATTTTTTTTTTTATTTATTGATTGATAAGTAGGATAGACAAGTGTATTGGGTTGAAGTCTACAATGTGATCTTAATTTACTCTGATTATATTTCAACACTGAACAGGATCTTATACAGGTCACTGAATTTTCAGTGTCTAATTTGACATGGATTTAATAATGTAGGTGAATAAGATTCGCCTGTTTGAATCTCTAAATCTTTCTCTAAATAAAGGCCATAAATTTCTCTTCCACACCACCATTCCATTGAGATTTTTATTGATTTTTTTAGTTTTACACAATACATTAGAAAACTGCCTAAGTCACAATTTTTTTCACTGCTGATGACCACTTTTTTTTTTGCAATAGAAATCTATAATCAGAATTGTGTCTACAGAAATAACTATTTAAATCCTCCTGCATATACTCATCTATGTTAAATAAAGCCATTTTTAAGGTCTTTTATCATTTACTGTATCACACCTATGGCACTTTTTTTCCTGAGCCTCCTGCGGTGCACAGTAATTGATGTGTGAGGATGATAGCTATACTTCTACATTGACAGATCTCATTTAATATGTTTAATGTTCAAGAAACCACTCCTTCCCATTCACAAAGTCTGTGTGTCTGAATGATTCGAGAATAATGATAGGCTAATGTTAGTAATGAGAATGACAAACAGAAAAGTTACAAATCTGAATATTCCTTTCTTTTTACCACAATTACCCTTTAACGTCATGAGTAACGTCATTGTAAATCTTAAAGACTACATCAAAGTCCAACAGTTAACAGATTTGATCCACCACACATCAAAGTCCAAAAGTTAAAAGATTTGATCCATTTATAATTCATTTTGCATGTTCTTCTGTCAATTTTTTTTTATTACATACATTTTCGACATATACATCTAAACCATTAAAGGCTTGTACCTCCAAATTCATAATTTATAAATAACATAACATTATCTTCCAATATTTTCCTCATCTGCATTCAAATTTATAAAATGTTTTAATCATGTTAATCAAAATGAGTTTAAAAAATCACACTATCGAGCAGGGCAAATGTGACCCAGACAAAGAGCCTACAAAAATATTCTAACAAATATTCTAATGTATATTCCGTAATTTTTCTGATATTCCATATTCAAGTCAATTTTTTGTTGAAAAAAATGTGACACATAAATTGTTGTGAGAGTTGTTAAATCTCTTTGCTTTCTGAAGCAGCACTGGATATGATATTACAAGTAGCCTACAGACAGGATCTCAACTGTTTTATCTCATCACCTGTCCATGCAAGTCATAAATATAAAAATTTTTAAAGTACATCAATAAACACAACACAAAAAGTAAACTCTCACTACATAAAGAAGCACAGTGCAGCACATGTACACTATCACTACTGTTGTGCAAGAAAGAAAAGAAATGAGACCCACTTCTTCAAGGATAGGACAGGTCATTTGATATTTTCTTTGAATAGATGAATTTTCAAAATAGGCAGACTTCTATCTTCACATAAAAAAGTCGTTTCTGGAAATCCCTACTCAAGATTTTTTTTTTCTTTTTAAACTTTTTCAAGAATGTTTTTTAAAGCCACCTAAGATTGATTTATTTTAAAAAATAACAATAACAATTTACTTTTGAATTTTTCTTCAACAAGAAAATAAAAGAGCTAAGTTATCAAATGCTGTTCCATTAATTACTTCTTAACTGTATATGAAGGTCTTGTAGATTAACAGTGCAACTTTAAGTGAAGATATGGAAAATGCAAGGCCAGTCTAATTTTACTGCACTTAATGATGCATTGCCATTCCTATTTAAGATATACAGCATTAAATGTTAACTATATGTGTATTTTAATAGAATAGTTCCTATGACTTGCACCGTGATTCCATATGATCATAAAGCAGCCCTCTTTTAATATTAAGGTAGTCATAAAAGCATATATGTTAATTTTTAGTCTATTTATCAATGCTCTGGCTGTCTTGACAGAGCACAAGCATCAGCATTATGTTAGATAAGTTAGTTTCAGTGCTACCTATTTTTAGAAATTAAAATTAACCTACTTCTGCGATGAGGAGGGGGGGTTGTAGGACTGTGCATGTTGTCCAGGTCAGAACTGACCGCAGGTCCCATTGTACTGGTGTGAATAGCAGAGTCCGAATTTGTTCTGAAAGAGCACAATATAAAACACTGATTAACATACTGTTTCCCTTGGCTTGACAGTGGGAGGAGCTTGAGAACAGCGGAATACTGGGGGTACTGGCCGTCCCTAAAACACTCGTGTGAAGAGCGGAATCGGAACTGCTTCTGTAATATCAAAATCAACAGTTATGTTTACAATCAGTATTAAAGCATTCGAAATGTTACCCTGGTCTTCATTGTAGTTCTCATTTTTTATCATAAAGTTGTGAAAGCTTATAATTCTTCATCCACGTTTAGAGTAACAAAATTATTGAAAATATTATAGGTCCTTTGTAAACTGAGTGCTACATGTATACATGTAATTTTTAAATATATTATACATGCTTCCAAAAGTATGAATAATACAGAATTTGAAATATTTTAATTAGGAGATATTTTCAAGGCATTTGTCAAACGGAGGAATTCGAGAATAGAGGTAGCTTAATATATTAACATTCACTGCTGAAAAACATTTTTTTTATTTACCAGGCTTTTTATGCAATATACAGATAAGAATTACTGAGAAAATAAGAACAGTGTTTCTGTGTCTGAATTTTCTTCACCTGACAATGCCATGTGTATATACCATCACTTTATGAACTTGGATTTGCGATGGAAAATCAATGGTGATGGTTCCAGACCTTGTCTCTTTACTATGTTTGGCAAACTACTGCTAGCCTACATAAATCACACTCTAAGCACAGCTCTGCAGAACTTTCAGGAAGTTAGAAGCATTGATTTAGAAGTAAAACAGCCTACCAATAGCTTGAAGCTCATCACTGACTGAAGATCACAGAGTCATGTACATTGTGAAAAAAATGCAATATCTATCTATTTTAGGATGAACACCGAGAAATATTATAATCATTTGATGAATCTGAAATTGAGTACAATACCCAAATTTTAAGTAAATGGAGCAATAAACATGACAAATATCTTAACTTTCTGATAACATGCAAAATCATAGCTTTTAAAACATTTTTCAGCTGATGGAAAATTTGTCAGCTACTATTACCCACCAAAAAACATTGAATATTCTACTTCTATAATCATCCTACATAATTGATGAATCCCAGGTTTAAACTTTCTATTTCATAAGCAATGCAACATAACAACTGTACAATAATATTCCTACTTTATGAGTCCAGAAATAAAAATATTGACAGATTTCCAACATCCTGTCCATAACTATTAACCACTAACCTTCTACCTAGAGCTTTTGACCTTCATTTGACCTTCATTTGACCTTATGACATCCTATCCAGAGCTATTATCCCTAGCCTTGACCTCCTAACCTTCTACCCAGACCTTTAAACCTCCTACCCAAAGCTACTGATACCTAACCTTAACCTTCTGACCTCCTATCCAGAGCTATAAATCCCCTTCATTGACCTTATGACCTTTTACTCAAAGCTTTAAGTCCCTAACTTTGACATTCAGATTACCTTCAACCCAGAGCTACTAATCTCTAGCCTTGACCTTCTGACCTCTTCCCAGAGCTAATAAATCTGTAACATTGACCTCTGACCCAGAGCTGTAAATCTGTAACCTTGACCTTCGAAACTCCTACCAAGAGTTATTAATCTTCAACCTTGACCTTCAAATCTACTACCTAGAGCTATTGAACTCCAACCTTGACCTGTTGTACTTCTGTGAAGAATTATCCAAAAAAAAAATAGCTTGTGGTTGAAATATGTTTATCTAAGCTGCATCTTATAAGCCATTGATTACTTGATTCTGACATTTTGTATGTTTATTAAATTGTCACAAACTCATCTTTGTGTGGGAGAGGTAAAGAAGAAATAACAGAGGCAGTCTAAACACAATGAGATGTGGCCATTATCATTAACTAATTATCTTATGTCTATACATTTACACCTACAAAACAACTCTTTTTACCAGCAGTTACTTTGCATCTTTGCATTTTTTGTGAGCTGAGGTACATTTTACCACCACATTCAATAAACATATATAAAAGGCTATATAAATTTAATTCTCTTGTTCTCAGGCCAATTTTCTCCTAATCAGATGCGGGAGGGAGGCATTTTTTTCATCATTTTATTGGCAATAAAGAAGATGAGGGAGGTATTTTTTTAATTTTAATTTTTGAATTTTCTTTAAAATAAGGATAATTTTTTTAAATAACAGATATACTTTCCATGTCTGATCAAAAGGTTTGCTCGATCCATTGCTTATCAGCGTATGAATATCGTAGGCAATGTCTTCAAATGTATTTTCAAACGAAGTAGCCAAAATCTCTTTGCAAACGGCTACCGGAAGTGGTATTTGAGTACTAAACTACGAAAAAATAAGGACGGAACTTTTCTTTTCCAGATTGATCTCCCCATTACCAACTTTTTATTTTATCAAAAATGCAATACAATTAGCAATGCGGCTATCTCAAAACAGATGCGCGCGGGCCTGAGATCCAGAATTTCAATTTTATGTAGCCTAAGGCCATCCTTAAAAAATCGTTTTTTTGCGGTAACGCGACCGACTCACCGAAATCCACCCACAAATTTTTTTTATCTGTTCAAAAATCTTTTTTTTTTCTTTCTTTTTTTTTTTTTTTTTACGTATCCATGTTCCGTTTTTATCCGATTGATATTTTTTTACGTCTGCATTGCACCTATGCCGTTTTTATCCGATTGATATATTTTTTACGCCTCGGTTACACCGACGCTTTATCTTTCTCGCAAGTACTATTAAAACGTCTTCGTGATCTACAAATTTAGAGGTGTCCGAGAAGGTTGCGGGAAATACTGACTCTATAGTTCTGTCAGTTACAGTGAATTTAAAAGGAAAAACATCTAATAAAATTACTATTCCAAAATATTGTGCATCAGTTCCACCTTACAGATACATGGTATGATGTTTATGAGATCGCCACAGAACTGGTGGCAGACGAAATTCCACGTGAGATAGACGAACACTTTGAAAAAGTAGCTAGAATCTAAAGTTAAACTTTAACTTAAAGTTTGTAATGGAAGTGGAGCTGAATCTGATATTTGAGCAATAAAAGATTGAATATATATAGAATGTTTAAATTTTCTTGTTTGATTAGCAAGGAGAAATCTAAGACATAGTTAATACCTCTATATAATCGAAATTTATTTCTGACATTTTGTCTCAAAAAAAAAAGCCTACCTACATACTCACACCTAAAATGACTAGGCGCGTTACCGCAAAAAAAAAAATATTTTTAAGGATGGCCTAATTTACAATTTCTATGTAGTCAATAATATTTTCAACATGTAGATCATTCATTATCAAATAATAAAAACAAACAAATAAATCAACAAGATCAAACAAATAAACAAAAAAACCTCTTTTGTTACACCTTTCTTATATGATATAATGCATTAACTTAATTTTTGTAAATTTCTTTAAGTTGATTTTTTGTCTTAACATTCAAGCTGTATTTTCCTTAATGAAAATGGAGAACATGTACAAAATACACCTTTGTTTATTCCTAGCAGACCCTGCTTTTACCAGAATAAGGGGGGAAAAATAATGTCTTTTGTAGGTTGTATTGAAAAAATGTGTCTTATTAAAGTTACTGTCTAATGTGATATATTAAACATTATCAACAAAACATCAAGAAAAGAGGGATCAACACAGATCCTCAATCTAACCAGTGACTGCTTTTATTTACTTTATCAATATCATCTACATGAAAAGTCACAAGCCAAAAAGTGTCACCTTTCTCAATGAACAAACTATCAAACTTCAATTCTTTACTACATTTTTATTAAAGAATTCTTTATACTAGAAGGCTTGAACACTCATTCTGCCATATCATTAATAAAAAAAATATGTACAGACAGAAAAATAAAAATTCATAAAATAATATGAAAGTGGTTTTCATAATATTATCAAAGAGGTTTAAAAATTTTCTTTAATAAAGAAATGATATTATCTTACAGTCTCCATCTCCAACATTCTTACCAAGAATAGAAAACTGAACCTTGACTTTAACTGTTTGATACAGATCTTAAGGAGATGATTATACCAAGAGAATTTTTTATACTGATACATAAAGCTAACATTCAAGTAGCAGCATTCCAAATGCATCAGAAATGTCAGTATTCACAATTTATATGTCTTTTAGCACCTTGGTAGCTTTTAGATAAAATTAGCGACACAAGGAGACATGTAAACACCCTCACCACCCACTTTGACAGTTTCCTTGGCCAACACCACATGCATGAAAACATGACATACATTTCTTCCATCAATTACATAATCTCCATATCCCTAATATTAGCACAGGCCATGTCCCACATGTCATTACTTCCCCTGATAAAACTGCTTTAAGTAAAGGGTGGATTTAGCAAGAATCCCCCCACAACACACACACACAGTCTTTATGTTAGGGTGCAGTTTGGCAAACATGAAAATACAAACTATCAGACACATGATATGTTAACTGGGGCTAGACTACAAGAAAGTACATTTATATAAATAAGCTATGAGCATGGATAATCTCATTCTTTATAGCTCTGGTAAGCAAAAAGCAAGAATATTCTCAACATGAAGGTCAGGGCTCTACATTGGTTTTTTACATACTTGTCCATACAGATTAAGTGATTGTATTAAAAATTTACTTGTCCTTTTATTACTTCTCCCAGTGTTTTCCATTGATTTCAAAGAAAAGGGTTAGAGATCAGTTGTAACCGGCAAGGGGCTGAGGTTTATGAACAAAATCTCTTTGGACATTACAATATACTTATTTCAAAGCGGCATTTTTGTCAATTGAAGTGGTCAGTTTAGCCGGTAGCTGGTTCTTAAGGAAAACACTGTTCTTCAACATTTTTATTTAGGAGCTTTTTGACAACTTAAAAATACTGTAAATTAAAATTTAAAAGAGAGTCTATAAAATCTGTTCATGATTTTTGATAAATAAAGCAGTTTTAGGATTTTGACAAATATAGCAAATTAACAAGATTCATATGCAACATAAAATGCTGGATTTTTAAATTTCCAACCTTTTAATTCCTCTTGTCTTTTCTTGTTACAACTTTCCTATCCAATACAGAAACCCTCAGTTCTTCAGAATCATAAGTAATGTCTCTATCAAGTTTGACCTGGGTCAACTATCATGATGGAGAAAGAAGTTGATTTTTTACATACAGATGCTTTTCAGGGCTCTCACACCATTTTTTGAGACAAGGGTTGGGGTTTTAAAAGTTGGAAAAAATAGCAATTCTTTTGGTTCTTTGCGAAAATGTACATCAAACTCATTATATATTGAATTTCTGGTTTTTGTTACATGTATCAACTATCTTTGTAATATTGAAATATGAATTACAAGTTAAGTAATTATATACATCAAAGTGTTCTTTGAATTTCAGGGAAAATAAATACTGAGAAAATTAACTATCAATTTGGAAAAAAAAGATACTGTATAGCTGGTTTTCTTGGTGGGTGTAAAATTTGGCGTTTTGCCTGCTCAAAGGTATGCCAATAATTTTGGCGTAATTTATTTTAGCGGACACAGGGTTTCAGCTCTTTACAGATGAACACTAAGAAGAGTACTGACTATTTTAGCGAATAAAATTTTAGCGAGCTATTATCAAAATGCCAAAGTAAGCTAAAATTAACACCCTGCTAAAATAACCTGTTATACGGAATGTTTTTTGATTTGGGTATGAGGCCTTTTGAGTTGACAAAAGTAATTAGGTCTTCATTTGTTATAAAAAATTTTTACAAAAAATTAAAAGGACAAGTGGCTAGCAATATTCAATGGCTCACAGAAATTGTTCACTGGTTCCAGAAAAGATGATGAATGTTCGAGCTCTGACCTTAACGTAAACTTAATAATAACTATTTCAATCTTGTGAATTTACTCCTTGAACAAAAAAAAGAAACACATAATAAACTGCAAGCATAATTCAGTTTTAAGATTTAATGACACTGACTGTGATTAGAGCCTTGCCCACGTTTGATCACTTAGTATGGCTCTGATAAAGTGGGATAAAAACAGCCTCACACACGTGTACACATAGGGAAAATGTCCACTCAATTGCAAATCTCAAACAATTAGTTTTGGGCAATTATGAATAAAACTCAATAAAACACCTTTTCATCAAATATTATAATAAACCAGACAAGATGATAATGTCACTTTCCAGATGAGAAGCGTAGTGTACGGTACAGTTAGTAATCCATGCAAAGGGGGTAACTAGAGTATGCCAAAGACAAGGCAAGGGTAACTCACCGTGGTAAATCATGGTTTCGAATCATTTGAGTCCTGAAATTGGTAGGGTGGTCAAGAAAAACAAATCAAAGAGCGAAATTCAAAGTGGAGGACAAAATCAAAAGAAAGCAAGTTTAAATAAATAAGAAACACACAAATAAAAAAATAATCACACTACAATTGCATTCTAAACAAAACATTTCTCAGAAAACATATAGGATATTTAAATGAATATAGGAATGACTTTTACTTTTTTTTGCCTAACACATAAAAATAATCTTTAAAGCCATCTTTCAAAAGAAAAAAAGATTTGCTTGTCCTATTTCAACTCAGGGTAAAAAAAAAATTGGTAAGTACAAGGTAGGTAGGTAGGTATGGGGAGAAAATTTCAGCATTGATGCCACAGGCACTTGTTTCGGGAATAAATTTTAACCCATAGTATAGTAATAACACAAGGTATCTAACTCCAAATTACACAGATTACCCCCCACCCTTAGAATCGCGCTCATTTACACTTTCAGAGGAAATGCACGGGTAAACTGTTTATACCCATGTCTTCTATGATAATTTATCTACACAACCATGTCTGACACGCTTGCCTTTATTTTCTTTTATCTCCGTAATCAGCTTCAAAACTCTGCTCGCCAAGTGTAAAGTGAAACTCAACCACAGAATGGTATGTTCTAGTCTCGGGCAAAGAATTAGACCTCGAATTTGATTGGCTAAAAATCTGTTTCTAAAATTACATCAGAAAAACATCGTAGTGTTTTTATGGAAAATAAGACACTATGAAATTTTATTTATTCAATGCAATATTTAAAATCTGGAATTGAATTTTTAAACCCACGCATTTTTTAATTTTTCTCTTTGCCCGAGATTAGCACATACCGTTTTATGGTTTAGTTTGACTTTTCTACTCGGCGAGTAGAGTTTTGATGCTGTTTACAGAGATTAAAGAAAACAAAGACAAGCAAGCCATAAATGGTTGTGTAGATAAATTATCGTAGATGACATAGGTATTAACAGTTTGCCACTGCCTTTTCTCTGAAAGTGTAAATGAGCGCGATTCTATGGGAGGGGGGTACTCCGTGTAATTTGGAGTTAGATACCTTGTGTTATTATTATACTATGGGTCAAAAATTTATTACAGAAACAAGTGCCTGTGATTGATGCTTATTTTCAGAAGGTGTTAATAAAATCAAAATAGTTTAGTTTTTGATAAGATTAGAATATTCAGGAATTAAAATAAAATCATTTAATATTGGTAAATGTTCAAGATCAAGTCAAATGTAAGAAATTACTGCAGTTATTTTTTTTAGCTGTTACTTCAAGTATAGGAGCTGGGACCCACAAAACTGAGAATTTCAAGGTCAATAGGGCCAAATTGGAATTTCAAGGACACCCTGTCATAGAGAATAATATAGGTGAAGAATCACTATCAGAAAGGGGGGAAACTGTGAACAGGGCATAAAACATGGAACCCCGCACAGTCCAGAGATGGCATCAGGTGCCTAGGAGAGAGCAACTTCTAATACTTGTATTTCTTTGACAAAAAAGTGTTAATAACAACTCAAAAATATTTAATATGATTTATCTTCTTAAGACTTATATCAAGAAGAGCAATGATATGAATAATCTAATTAAAAAGCTGACCAAACCCTGCTTGATTACTTTTTTGAAACATTTATAATATAAACTGATTTTGGTTACAAAGATAGCAAAGTATTTTGGGGGAAAATTTTCAAAATATATTTTGGACTAGGATTCCTTTCAAATTCTTGTTCTAGATCTGTACCAAAATTTAGTGAATTGATCAAATGTAAAATAGATGCATAATGACACATCATAAACATAACTATACATCTGTGAATGGCTCATTAAATTTCATTCAGTAGTCTAGAAGGGGATGCAAAAAAGAATTGGATATCCCTAATAATATTACAAAATAATGAAATGTGTTCATGTTTTGCAAATGGAAAACCTAAATATATGTATGATCAAAGATTCTATGAGAGTTTCAATTAATTTTTCACATTGTATGGGAAAATTGGATATGAGATTGGTACAACCCTGGGTGTAACAGATGAATGGACACCCCCATCATTTTGAAATGGGGGACACTGGGGTACTTATAAATTTATGAAGACTTACATATTTTTGCAACCTATTTAATAAAATAACATATCCAATTCATAAATATAAAATATTATACATCCATTACGGTGTACTCAATAACTTAATAAACATTTTTACATAGAAATATTAAAATATATTACAAAACCAAAAAAAAGAAACAAAATGTTTACTTAAATAAAATAAAAACAATGAAATGAATACCATTTTGTATGTAAAAGTAATACAGAAATAAATTTTCTCTCAAAATATACTTCAGTATTTTCTTTTGCAATTCTAAAATATGTGTGTAATCTAGATCAGTAATATTTCTCGGACAGAGATGAAAAATTTCAGGGTGAATAAAACAATAGAATAAATGTTTAACTTTTATGTGCTTGAAATAGAAAACAAAATTGAAAAAAGATAAATTTTGATGTTAAGAAAGCATAAAAGTCCAATTTCCATCCAAAGAAAGAGGGGGTTTTGAAATGAATTCAGAAAAAAATTGAGGGTAAAGAATTATTAGGGTCAGATATAAAAAGAAGTATACAAACACACATCTTATCTTGTTAAACTTTAAAATCCACCACAAAGTAAAAGGGTCACACAGGGTACAATTCACTACAAATATCAGAGGGGCAGGAAAATTGTTTATACAAAGAGAACCTTACCTCTTCCATATTGTGTCGGGAGGAGGGGAAAGGTATGCAGAGCCATACGGGGAGCAGTCATTCTAAAAATAAATACAACAATGATTAAAGCTCAACTTGTCTCAAATAATGAGTGTCTTCAACTTTCAGGAATAATCTTAAACATAATAAATAAAATTCAATAAAATAAGATTTTTTAAGTCTCTTAAACATGTAAAGGGGGACTAAAAGTGTTTCTCCCCCCATTGACAGCATTATTATGATTCCGAGGGTCTGACTTAAAACATATGGAATAAGTTAATCAGTTAGACCTTTTCTTCTTATTTTGCAATGATTATAGTAATATATGGATTTAAAAAACAAGGTTTTTTTACAGCTGACAAAATAGGATAATCAGGCTCATGACTTTTGAAAGAAGTTCTCATCAAGTCCAACATGTTCATTCAGGTATTTTGCAATGTAAAAGCAAGATTTAACAATAGATTTCATAAAAACACATTTACACATACTATGATACTTAAAATGGACCAAACATCACACTTCTGTAACAGAGGTGCAAGTCAATATCAACACTTTTTTGGCATGAAATCTTTTCTTTCTTTTTTTTAACTTAGACACTCATAGAGAAATGATTAATTATTATATTGATAAAATACACTGTTGTAATGAGTTATAATGCATGCGTACAGGGATGTGGGTGGTTAAAAGGAATATATTAGTATTGTTTCATACATTTCCCCCCTCTTGCTTTTCTATAAAGCCTGTGTCAATTAATCTAGGCCAAACTGTAAACTTCATCTGCTGTGTCATTGGTACATACAGTCATGTTACTTCAACAAAAGTTATTCTGTATTTGGAAAATGTATATATTTTTAAATATGGATTTTTTCATAATCGTGTTTATTTTCATGATTCTAATAGAAAACCAGGTTGTAATGTTGGTATATTGAATATATTTCTTATGTTTATGTTTTCTTATACCCTTTGTTTATCCATTGGAAAAGCTCTTCTGTGTGGCCCGAGTTGTCTGCCCCTGTCACGAACATTGTGTATTCGCCCGTCCACTCGGTTATGTATTGACCCACTAGCTCGAATGCCCTCAAAATCCCTCAGAGCAGACTACAAAATACCATGTAAAAATCCATAAGATACCTTTAAAACGCGAAAATAACACAATCTCGCGATCAATAGAACAACAATTACATTTGATCCGCCATGTTTTGAAATAAATATAGATATACGTACTGGAAGATCAATGGGAGAATTTGTGGCCATCTGATTGACATTGGGCAGCGATCCTGCGCGATACTGCGTCCCAATGTTTTGATGCAACTGTAGGTGCTGCTGTGGAGGGTAGCTCTTCTGTGAAGTACACTGAAAATAACGAAAACGTTGTCTAGTATCGTGCAAGTGACAATCTGCTTTACCCCGCTTCGTATGTTTCCAGCTAACTTTACAGTATAAAATCGGTCAAGTGTGCCTTACCTTGGTTGCAAATGATACATCTCTGAGAATGGCTTCAAATGCTGCTGTTTCTTCGGCCTGTTTCTGATTATGAAGTGCTATTTTCTCGCTAAATTTACGCGGATTCGACATCATGGCAGAAACGACAGGCTTGTTATGATTTTGACATCGCAGGGGGTCCGTCCTATTATTATCCAATCAAAACTTTGAATAGGGCCATGTGATCACCGATAGATGTCAGCGTAATCGGGCGCTGCTCCTTCTTCTCTGTAATAACTGTAAAATAACTGTAAAATGAAATAAAATTAAATAAGAGATTCTGGACCGATTAAATGGGTACTATGTGATTATGTCTGATGATGAAACTTGGCATTTTTATGCTCAAACTACAGGTGTTGATGTGTTACAATCTGCATTATGTAAACTTTTATGGCATAATGTTTCAGCAATAAATTTTTTCAACCCAGCTATAGTATAATTATTATGCCAGTGCAATCAAACATTCGGGGGTATATAGTTTTGCCCTGTCCGTCCGGCTGTCTGTTAATATGTTTGTTTCATTGTCCGTAAAAATTTAACCATGGCTACAGCTTTTGTGTGGGTGGGGCTACATATATAGCTTTCATATTTCGATCACAATTGTATTTAAAAGTGTATTCCTAGTGGCAAGACCCTTCTTCGGGTACTACCAAATTTGCGAACTTTTTATTTTTACCATAGCTTTTGAATAGTTGTTTTGTTATCATTGACAGCTGCTTAATTTTTCAATAAAAATGGAACTGGTTAATTTACATACCTTGTCATTGCATGGTCATTTTATCAATTATCAAAATTATCAACTTTGTTTTAAAAAATCTGATTGTACACATAAGTATTTCTGAAGTTGACATCAAAAAGATGCTTGAGTTTCTGATTGACAATATCTATGTGGCTTTTGGAGACCAGGTCTTCAAATAATATATTGAAATTTCCCATAGATACCAATTGCGCCCCATTATTAGCAGACCTATTTTTGCATTCATGTGAAGCAGAATTTGTCTAAATCTTATACTTGAAAAAAGAAAACACTTGCTGTGGCCTTCAACTCGACATTAAGATAATTATATCGACGACGTATTGTCTCAACAATAGTTATTTCCAGATTATGTCGATACGATATACCCGTGAGCTTGAGATACCACATATACTATGGCGTCCGCGGATAGGGCCATTTGCTAAAGCTCAACAGCACATTCAGAAAAACACGCTGACGCGCTAACACACAACACGCTGTCACGCTAACACGAGTTCGCACAACACACTGTCACGCTAACACAAGTTCGCACAACACGCTGACGCGCTAACACAATAGAGTTTGCACAACACGCCGTCGCGCTAACACACAACGCGCGACGGCCTGATGTGTGTTATAGCGCGACGGCGTGTTTCTAAAAAGCGTGTTAGCACGACGGCGTGTTGTGTTTTAGCGCGTCAGCGTGTTTTTCTGAACGTGCTGTTGAGCTTTAGCAAATGGCCCTATCCGGACACCATAACTATCGGACTTAATCCCATGTACCTCTGATGTTTTGGAGGTCCGTGTTAGCTTTGTATTGCTTTATGGACTTTTGAGCTTGAATACTGTTCGTTATCTCCATATATATTTTCATTGGTGTTAGCTAGAGCACGTATATTCACTTTGACAAGACCTTTCAATGGGTATAAAAATATTTGACCTCTTGACATTGACCTTAGAATTTGACGCACTTGTTTCAAACTTTCACCTTCTTCCTAACTTTTGAATTACTACACTTAGGGCTTTCATATTTCACGGGTCTATTATTTGCATATGTAGCAACATACCTTCATCACCAGCATACGGGGTTTATATTGCTGGTTTTTTATTCAGTTGAATTTGTTTTTCGTATTTTTTCTCTCTTTCTTATTATGTTTTTGTTTTACTCTCTCTCTCTCTCTGGATTCATTCTGAATATGTACCAATTGATCATACACTGTATACCTTCATACCCTTCATTCAATGTTTAAATGTACATGTACCTTGGCCTATGGAGAGAACGATTATAGGCATTTATGCCTGTTGTACAATCCATTTCATTAATTTGAATAAATATATTTTAAATCAAAGTAATCTTTGTGACAAGACCTTCCCTTCTATACCAACAAGTTTGACTTTTTGACCTCGGGAGTTTGACTTGCATTTGAGAAACTTCAACCCTCGTCATAAAGGGGGGGGGGGCAATTTCAAAGACAATAATAACTTTTCAAAATTTTACAACCAGTTAAAGTTTTTGGCTTTAGTCGTAAGTTCTTTTGTAAAACATGCCCCTGCACTTACTGTACATTTATTGACTGGGTTTGAGGACAACATGCATTCTTTGTTATTTTGGGACCAAAGAACCAAATTATGCGCTATGCCTTATGACGTTAGGCCGAAGGCAAACAGTTTGGTTCGAGGGGTCGTCAAAATACATTTTACCCGAGAACACAGTCATTAAATGTTTTGTTATACATGTACCTCTTACTTTTTATTTTGACATATTATGAAGTTAACTTCGTTTACACTTACCCGCATTGCAGGTCGAACGAATGCGAATAAAATATATATAGTTGACCCCGCTCACCCTGTGACGAAAGCGGTCAAACATCTCATCGACAGGTCCGACAGCTAGATTTTTTATATCCCAGCCCAGTAAAACATTGGAAATGTTGGACTCTTTCAGAATATTAGAATTATTTAAGACATAATTTTTAAAGGTATAACAATTATCATATTTATAAATATTTCGACACGATATATCCAAGTGAGCTTGAAGATAAAAGGTACCACAAAGTCTGACACGTAATCTGTTTCATATTTGGATATTTTACTTGAAAAGACTTATCATTAACCTTATACAACAAAGATGTATATGATAAACGTGCAAGCTGACATAAATTGTTCGAAGTCAACTCTCATATACATGTATATTGACTCAGAATGTATGCATAGCAATATACCCTTATCAACCCTTATCATCAGCATATAAGGGGTTTGATCTTGCAGTTAATTCAGTACGCAAGAGAATGCTTTGTCTGTCTGTCTGTCCGCAAAAACTTTAACATTGCCCATAAGTTTTTAATGGGTTTCATATTTCACAGGTTTATTCCTTAAGGTATACCTTTACTCAGATGACCAAAAATTCCACTGATAAGAACGAAAAACCACCTATTGCACATTGTACACCAATGATTCTTGTGTTAAATTTCAATTTCAAATAACTAGGTCATTGACCTACTTTTCATGCTAGTGGCCCCTGAGTATTTCTCGGGAAATACCTCAATTTTTCACACTATGACCAATTTTTTCTATACACACAAAATATTACAAGCAACTAAACTCTTTAAATAATGAAATATTATAGCCAGTTTACCAGTTTATTAATATCTCTTTGGTTGTTATTTAACAACATAGAGATCAATACATTATAACATATATACATACATAGCAATGGAACAGCGTTGCTTCATATAAAGAAATGATTGGAGTTTGGGCCAGAAATGTGATAATTATAACAGTCCGAATTTCCTCTGTCATCTTTATATTTTTCCCCCATTTTAAATCGAATATTACAAAAATCTGACTGATAAGAACTCTAAACTATTTATAGCCTCAGATTACTTTTGATGCCCTAATTCTCATGGTATATTATATGGGGTCTATGATCAAATTATTGAGATATATTGTCTGGAATGGTTTTTGTGCATATTTTTGAATTTCTTTATTTCGTAGCATTCAATTATTTGAAATAATTTATGAGCTTTAACACATATAATATTTGCAAAATGATGTTTAAAAATACATTTAACCTTTACTTCGTGATTATTATTGAAAGAAATCAACATTTTTGACAAAAATGAAAAATTAAAAATTTAGTCCAAATTTCCTCTGTATTACCATACATTGACTTTTGTACCTGTATATTTTCTTTAAATAATAAAATATTAGATTTTTAAATTGATTTCGATTTAAAACTTGCTTATTTTATCCATTTAGAACAATTTTTGATTTAACATATTATACTTTATAAAATTTCCTTTCTGTTATCTGAAACCTGAGTAAACGTCATCCTTAAGAAAACACCGTTCTTTGGGTACCACCAAATTTGACCTCTTTAAACAAACTCGAAAATCTTTTGTTAGGGATGTGGGCCAATTTAAGCCCATTTTTTTTCGCCCCGGCGAAAATCAGGTTCCCTGAAGTCCTCTTGCAGAAGTCCATGCATATATACATATCACAATACTATAATTTCACTACCCTTCCTTTTTGCATGACTGACACAAAATAAAAAAAAATATATTTTCCACATTTTATTTCATATACACAGAAAGGATACTGCTATCATCTTGTAAATTTTGAATTTACTAGGGGGAGATAAATGCAAAATTCACAACAGGGTTACTGTATTAGCTTTGAGTAACATTCATAGGCGTCGGAAGGGGGGGGCTTAGCCCCCCACTTTTTTTTGCAAAAATAGACATTATATAGGCATTGAAAATTGGAAATTACCTTTTTTTGATGGTTTAGCCCCCCTTTCGATTTGCCCCCCACTTTCAATTTGCTTCCGACGCCCATGCCATTCTAGGGAGAGGATACGCTCTGTGATTTGGAGTTGGATACCTTAAGTTATTGTTACACTAGCGTTCGTTAAAAACAAGTGCCTTCATGTGGTCCATCTCCCTCCTCCGATATTATGTGCCACGTGTATTGTTTAGAATATACCGTGTTTACTGGAAAGTCTTATTTTGTTCAAATTTGCGTATTGAATTTTAATATATTTAATTAATAATTTTCATTTCAAGATTATATACTATTGTAGTAGTATCTAATACATTTTTTTTTCATAGTTAGAGATCATCTTTGGGAATGTGATTATTGGTGGTTTTATCGATAAAACGTCATCCGGCGTTTATTGTGAGTTGACCACTGTCGTCGATTACCAGTAAAATGTCTAAATGTAAAACAAATGAGATAAACTCTGTGTCGTATTCTGCTTCAACTTCACGTGCGTATATCGACATAAATAAATTAAAATTAACTATTGGTACTTTATAACAGGTCGTCGACATATCTTAAGGTTGATTTTTAAAAAGACCACAGCAAGAGTTTTCCTTTCATATA